ACCCAGAAAGTGGTTACAGTAAAACACCAGTAAAATTTCTCCAAATGTCTTTTTATCTGAGGTTTTGTTGGAAGTACAGGAAGTACTTTTACTCCATTATTGTAAAAGTCCATAGGCCTAAGACTAATTGTAGTAAGTGTATTGTTTATTTATCAAACACTTAATAAAAACCTTTATATATATCTATATAGATATATGTATATGTATCAAAAGAAGACCTCTGTGAGTTCTAGGGGGACTTATAACTGATCAGTAATTGTCTCATTATTTGAACAGAACAACACTTCAGTTATTAAGATAGGGAAATCCTTAATTAGGAATCTGAAAATGTTCCAACTACAAACAACTAATTACAAGCACAGCAGTTCTGAGCTTTTATATTCTGCTCACAAGGCATGTCAAATAAAAGTTTAATTAGGTGGTGAACTGTTAAAACAACAGAAACAGAGAAGAGAACTGACATTTGCATCACTTTCGTTAAGAATTAAAGCTGTACTGAAGTTTAGCACAACATTTCAGTATGCTGACAGCTACCATAACCAATACGATCTAAAATTAACTGACAGTTTAGTTCTCATTTCATTCTTTTTTTGAGTACTTCTAGTTCTCCTTGATTATTGCGTAAATCTGTGGAGGACTGTGATTTCATACTCGGCGGACTGCAATTCCTGGAATAAGATGATGTTATCTAATTGTCGTAAAGTAAGGCATGCATTTCAACACCTCGCCTCCTGAAGTGAAAATTTGTAGACCTTTCCTGTGATGTTGGTCATACTTGAAATATAATTTGTTGTATTAATTAGTGGATTCTGGGAAAAGAAGGAGCATTATACTGCAAATATTTCTAGTTTCACAATTTATAAACTTAAGAAAAAAATGTCTTCGTATTTCATAATCAGAGGTTAAGAGATAAAGACTTAAGGTCAAATACCATAGATTCCATTTAAGACATGTCATCCATGGTAGCTGCAGACGAGACATTAAACGCGTTCAGTTTGACACCTGGTCAGTCCATTGATTTAAGAGGGCTCACGTCCAGGTAGTGCCGAGGTAGTTGTAGGTAGTTTTGTTGTTGTTATAATAATTTATACGACAATATGTATGAATATTAAAAACAGATGAATGGAGTTGCTTGCCTTTTGACATTATATAATAATAAGAGTCCTTGTGAAATATGAACAACAGAAAAAGACAAGTGAGTTTCTAGTTTAATGTTAGACTTATTTTGTTGTTCTGAGTATTTGCTTGGCAACCTGTAATTTCAAAGGGCATTCATCGCATTCAAAATTAAACTTTTACTGCAAACTGAATTCCTGTCGTGCTAGTCCTTTATGTAGTTCTAAAAAAATGTTATAGGAAACTGAAGACTGGACTGAAACAGATTCATATCGAGTTTAGTGACATAGCTGGCTGTTTATGGATTAAATGATCAACACAGAGCAATGTGAATTGCGCCTTTAGCACCTTTTGTGCTTTTCTGTCAGCTTTAATTTGCCATTACCATTCGAGACTCAAAAACAGTTAAAATACCATGTCCAATTTTACTTAAACAATAAAGGTTTGTGTACCCATTCTAAATAACACTGAATAGCATCAATTTATGTTCCAGTATTTCTGTAACTGTGCACATTATAAAATTAACATCTGCCATCACGATATTCTACATTTATATATGTATTTATTCTTTGCACAAGAGTGTTTTCTACCTCGACTCTAGATATTTAAAACTTCTGAAGAATCAAGCTTAAATAGTCACTTTGTAGCTCATGCCAAGAAGTCTGGAATAGATGTGATTATCTTATCATGTTAGGTCATGATCACGATCATATTATATAATAAACCCAAAGTCGGATCCAAGCGTAATTAGACACAGTAGTAACCCTCACATCTGATGATTGTTGGGCAAAATTGTTGGATGGTTTGCTCTTGCTTTACAACATGCAGCTATGTCATTGTCAAAACTAATTATCCATATTTGAAACAGTGTTGGCCCTTCACCATCATAGCAGGTGTGTGCAATTGGCATCTGCAACCATCTTTAAACTGCTAGTTGCTTTAAAATGGTGCATAAACTGTGACTGCAGTCAGAAGTCATTGCCCAACGTCCTTATGGGATTTTTTTTAAATGATGTTGCAAGATAGAGCTACACTGCAGAAAGAGAACTATTTCATAATCTCCTGCATAGGACCCCATGTTCTTGTCTTTTCAGAAGGAAAATAGGATATACTGTAGGAAAATATGTTTCCAATATATTAGTTGTTGTGTAATGTAGTGGCAGGCCTCTGTGCTACACTGAAAAAAGGGCATAGTGCGACTATTATGCAGTATCACATACTGGCAAGCTTGTTGTGTAATGCTGATGTACATATTATGACCATGGAGACACCTGTTGGTGGGGACAATTTAAATAAAGTAACAAAGCAGAGGATGATAAGATATGACAGATGAGGTAAGTCTGTTATGCAGGTGACAGGTGAAGATGCTATACTCAAGACTTGTGCTGCTTGATACACCTTTGTCTGGAAAATAATATATTGTACTTAATATATTGTGGAGAATCAGGGAGAAAGATAGAATCAGTGATGAAGAAAGGAAGTACACTGGGTACATACAGGTTATTTCAAAATATGCTTTATTAAGTTGCGCTAACAGACTTTTTGTTGTCTTGGAATAACTTTTAGTGTAGATTTGCCAATTTTATTTGACATATCCATTAGTATCTGGTCAGAAAATACACAAAATTACCACAAAGTGTGGCTGGTACGCTCTTCAGTTCAAATTCCCTTTGAAAATGGAGGACAATGATGTTAACCAAGAGACAGAGAATGTCATATAAAATGTGAAAAATGTTTTTCAAAGTTATCAAACAATAATAATTACTTATCTTTATACGGAGCGTAAGGAAATTGCAGGCTTATTGTCTGTATTAAGCTATCAAAACTTTGGTTCCATTAGGGCATAAATCTTTGTTGTTCACAACATGTGGGTAACGGTGGGACTTTGAAGCTTTGATCTTGGCTACTGGATTTTGGTTAGATCTTACAAACACTTGCAGAAACATCCCACACAACCTTGAAAGAAGCAACAATAACAAGATATCATGTTCCAGGGAACTTCTGGAACCTCATCTTATTATTAAAGCAATTTCAGGCAAAAGTGGGCCATTAAGTTCTGCTTGGCATCGGTACTTGAATAATCATCAAGTAATCATCTCTAAAATGTCCAATTTTTTCACTGACCATGATGATGATGATGGTCAAGTCAGTGGAGGTGGCGTGCAGAGAACCCTTGTCAAAAAGTGGTCATCAATACCCATAAGAGCTTTTGATGACCTGATGCAGACTGTTCCATCTGTCCCTGGCTGTAGGTGGCTCCACCAAGGGTCATCCCCTGGGCAGTTTCTGTCTCAGGCCTCTCTCTTAAAAAAGGGATCGCTGGCTTACCAGGAAGGAACCACCGCCTGTTACAGACAAACTCATTAAGAGCCAAGGTAAGATCTTTGACAGCTTTTTGAAGGACACAGTCACTCTCCAAAAGACCAGGAGCAACTTGACAACCATATTGCCAAGTCAAGATTCAAAAGGATATTTAAATCCTGAGGCACTAGAGCCAGTATGGGCATACCACTGCTGCAACTAACCCTAAGCTGTGTGTCAGATACAATCAAATTCTAACTGGGCCAGGGAGGTGCTGAAATGCTATGATTCCTCAGATGTTGAAGTGTGTTTGGCAGGTAACCTTTGGCTAACCAGAAACAAAGGGGAAGGACGGTGCAGGTTACTGTGGACAGAAAGAAGGTTCATCTGTGACACAGTATCTTGGTGAGTTATGTGGAAGTGGGGCAGGATTAGGCAGTATTCATGATCAACAAAAATATTAAAAGATCGCCCTGACAGTGCTCTGAAGAGTTTAACATATGCACATTAATTTCTTCAACCAACCAGTTTATGATGTCATCCCAAGCCAAGCCAAGCCAACCTGCCCATCAATCACAGTGCAGACATGCAAACTATGGAAGAAAAAGTCCACCCTGGAGCATATCCCCAGCTTCTGTCCTAGTGCCATAGAGGAAAGGTGGTACCATTGGCTTCATTCATTGGCTAGACAAAGTTAGTAAAGCAATCCAAACAGTCCATCAACTTTGTCAGAGCTGGAAAGGAGTAGGTGAGGCCCTCTGCATGGGCTTCTTGCTGCCTGTGACTGGCAGCTACAAATAAACCAAGGAAGGAAGCTCAAGTTCCTTGAAAACATCTCAATCACTCTGGTCTGCTAGAACATGGCGTAAACATCAGAGGCTTCAACGCAAGTGGCAGTGGTGGAACATAAAATGTCCTGGGAAGATTGAAGAGGCCAATTAGAGGAAAGGGTAAAATATGAAAATCTTGTCTCAGAGTACCAGAGAAAAGGCTGTAGAGCATGATGTGTGCCAATGGCAGTTCTGTGCCAGGGAACTCACCAGCAAGCGTTTACATTTTTTGAAATGAAAGGAATGCTGAGAAGCAGACACAATCTGAAGGCTGCAGAAAATATCTCTCTGGCTATGATTTTTGAGGGAGGAATCAAGTATGACTTCGACATAAGTCGGGAGCTGATTATACCGGATTTGGTCGCCTTGGTGATGTGAGGGTGTCTGATGAATACAACTTAAAATCCCCCCAATGGCTCTGGGTCATCACTGAAGACTTTTCCAAGTAACGTAGGCCAATGTACTACGCAAACAAAAGCAGTGATACAGCTTATTTTCAATATGGTCTCTTCACCTCAATGATGAAAAATCAATTAAAGTATAAACATGAAAGGCTGGCATAACCAAACACAGATTAGCCATATTAGGACTTTGAAACCAACTGAAAGGAAATCTGTATGCTTAGATCACCATTGTATTCACACATTTATTTTTGAGGTAAAAAAAATACAAGTCAAGCTCACCTTCAACAGCGTAAAACCTTTTTGTTTAATGGAGTCAGTAAATAAACTTGAAAGAATAACTGAAATTTTATAAAAATGTACTGTATCTTTAATGATCATGAGATAATTTACAGAGGTACAGCACAGTATCTAATGGTTGTAAAACACTGACACTGTATCATTTGTCGTAATCATTAGAATTCATCAATCGCGCAGAATGCGAGCACAATAGAAATCATACAAAAATCATCCAAAGTAATCTGTTAACAAAGTAACATTTCTAAAGAAAAAAAAAACTTTACAAAAAAGTTGGTAGAATACATCTCACACCATCTACCCCATGAAAATGTTCATATTTCCCTTGCACACTTAGGTTATGTACTTGAAGTTTTTCTTATATTGCATTGTTATTACACACCATGCCTATCACATACAGAGTATTCCAGATGGAATAATAAACAATCATTCCAATTGTTTGGTTTGGGCAAAGAAATGCAGATGGATCTTGTCTCTCTCTATTGGTCCACAGTTTTTCTATCCTCCTGGGCTCGACCAGGAGCACAGGAGATGCATTCAGTCTTTGCGGTGAGCCCAAAGGTGTTTTCTCTCTGGATTTACTGCTTTGTCTTGTGGTGACGCCTGACCAGCCTTGCTCTCCTTCTCATTCCAGCTGTAAACAGAGAAATGGAGGGGATTATGTGAATGAATGCAAGAGAATATAATTCATGATGTCTAGATTTTTACCATATTAATAATCAAAATGTCTATTATGCCTTTAAGGTTACTTTTGCTTAAAAACATTTCCAGCATTTATTATACTGCAATAAGACAACTTTTATTCCTATCCAACAAAATGTATTAGTTCATGAAGGATCATCCAATTTACTGTTACCTGGACCTTTCCTGGCAGCAGCGAATTTTCCTCCCTCTGGAAAATAAAGAAATGACAAAGTCAGTTGCTGAGTTTGCAGGTCTGTGTCTTTGCAGATCTGCAGGAGGAGAATTCACCTTGAATGATTTTGGTAATCCTCTCTGATTCCTCATCAATCAGATTAGGATTGCCATGGATAGTGGTGATTCTTGTGAGGTCCGGGACTGAAAATTCAAAACAAGACAATTAGATCAGAAAGTCACATCAGTGTGTAAAATCAAGTATGTGAAAATCTGTGTCCACCTTGAAGTTAAATCTCTTCTTGCACCCAAGTGGACATAGATTTTTTTAAATGATTTTTTAGATACAGAAAGGATACATTAATTTGAACAAAATCTGTTTTGACGTGAGAGGTTGTGTGAACAGACCCTACCCTCAATGATATAAGGTTCGCTTCCTGCAGTGAATCTGGCTCCACCTTTGGACGGGCAGCGGAGAAGGGTGTTGAAAGTCATTTAACGACTAAACAACTGTACTGACTGACAGACAGACAGACTGACAGGTGCATTAACCCAGTGAAACACCTCCTCCGCCACCGCCAACATCAACAGCAACAGCAACACAGAGACAAGCACAGATGTGCAGTATTTATGAACATATACACTTATGCACAGTTTGTGAAGTACAGGTGTGCAGGTGCCACTCAAGCTCAGAAAAAGAGACACAATTCTGCCTCTTGGCCCATAAACCAAGCTGCCGACTCAGGTGCAACAGTTGTAGTTTAAAAAAGTTCAAAGCTCAGTAGCTCCTCAACCAAAGTAGCCAAAGTGCAGCGTATGGCATTCTGAAACTCGTTTTAATTTGCACACTGCTCACTCTTACACTTCACAGCAGCATTGGACAGAGAAAAAGAAACCCGACATAGGCATGGTTTAGTGGTGAGGTGGACATATTTCCAAATCATGATGCACCGTGGGTTGGAGAGCAATATGTACAAAAACTTGGCTTTCTACGTGTGTTCTTTTTGCCTAACAGGGAGATTGACTGTCAGAATAAATCTCCTTTCTCCATAGCATCATGATTAAACCTATAAAAACCTTATAAACCAGAATGGACTGGTGCTGTTTTGAATGGTGGCTAGCCAAAGCTTATCATAATATGCAGTACAATCCTAATGGACAGGGTGTTAAAAAGAATGTTTGATCATATCTAGCTGTATATTATTGCAATATCTTATTAAATAAAATATGTATTTTTTACACGACTTCACAGCAGCCAGAAAGCTAAATGACTGATCCAACATTCAGTGGCACTGTTATTTCCTTTGCTAGCCCTTTTATGAGTTTGAATCATGATATTAAATTTAATGGAAGACTTTAGAAAAATAAGATAGAGCAGTAAGTGTTATCTTAATGACCTGTATTAAGTGCCCTGAAAAATAATAATTATATCATTAATAAACATGTCCAAATTAAAGGCATTGTGATAAAACTGTTGTCAACAAAACAGGGGATGCATTTGTTAGAAGAGCTGTTAGAAGATGAAGGAAAATCTCAGCGCAATTGTGCTATATATGGAAATTACAGTGTTAAAAGAAACGTACCTGCTATTCTCTTTCCATCAACATTAAGATCTCCACCTGTGTAAAATCAAATGCATGTCATCAATTCCATCCTCATTTTGCCATCTTTAACCCCTTTTCGACCAAAGGTCCCCAGAACTTTTAGTCGCAGGGACTTCTCTTCAAGAAACTGAATGGTTCTTGTGGCCCATGTTGTCAGCATTTCCACCATGGTCTGAAGTCCTACGAAGATTATGCAAAAAGGCCAATGATGTACAGAGACGCCATAAAAGTAACTGCACTACACCGCCAGTCGAATAGGTGGAGGTAAGAAGAAGATGAAGGCCATAAAATTAAGATGACGACATACTGTATAAGTGACGGACAGGCCAGCATCATCATTTGTGCGACACTACAGTTAGCATGGAGGAGGTTTAGCTTGTGCTGTTTTGCAAATCGATTCACTGATTCAACACTGGAAAGGAGACGAGCGCCAGTCGCAAAGTGAGACACAATCAAAATATGAACAGTGGGCATACATCTGCAGTTTTAAAAATGGCAGGTGACCTTAAATGCTACGAGTGCCGGACCAATCAGGGACGTTCCCAAAATCTTTGGAATGTTCTAGCCCCAGAGCAGGGTCTTTTTTAGGAGTAGATCAATTATCCAGAACTACTATCAGACCCTGGTTCCTGAAGTAGAAATGAACATAGACAGCATCCTTAGTTCCAGGGGAAAGTTCCTGCGGTTGAAAAGGGGCTAAAGTCACCATTTAAAAAAAGAAAAAGATTTCAACCTTATAAAATGTCCAAGAACTGACCTTCAATGACTCTTGTGACTTTGGTAGAAGACTGTCCATCAATCACCCTGGTTACTGTAGGTTGTGAAGGCTTACCCTTGATGACCCTGGTAACCTTTTTAAAGGAAGGGTCACCCTGGATGACCCTGGTTACCTCTGTTTTGGAGGGGTCGCCCTGGACAACCCTGGTAATCTCATCTGGATAGGGTGTTCAAAAGAATGTTTGAACATATCTGGCTGTCTATTATTGCAATATCGTATTACATATAATTTGTTGTTTTTTTCATACCACTTTACAGCAGCCATGCAGGAAGGAAACAGCAAATTACTGTTCCAACATTCAGTGGCACTGTTATTTCTTTTGCTAGACCTTTTATGAGTTTGAATCATAATCTAAAATTTAATGGAAGAGTTTAGAATAACAAGATAGAGCAGTAAGTGTTATATTAATAACCTATATAAAGTGATCTGGAAAATAATGATTATATCATTAATAAACATGTCCAAAATGGCTTTAATTTTTCAACACATTCGATAATCTACCAACAGGAAATGTACCACGAAGACTAATATGGTGTGCACCATGAAAATGACATGTCTGTCCATTTAAATTGGATCACCAAGCAAACAAAGTAAAAGTCATTGTGTTAAATCTGTTCTCAACAAGACGGTGGATGCATGTGTTAGAAGAGCTGTTAGAAGATGAAGGAACATCTTAGATCAAGAGCTATTGTCCTATATAGGGAAGTGACAGTGTTGAAAGAAACTTACCTGCGATTCTCTCTGCATCTATATTAAGATCTCCACCTGTGTAAAATCAAATGTCATGTCATAAATTCAGCCCACATTTTTGCCATCTTTAACCCCTTTTCGACCAAAGGTCCCCAGAACTTTTAGTCGCAGGAACTTCTCTTCAAGAAACTAAACTTCCTGTCGCCCATGTTGTCAGCATTTCCACCATGGTCTGAAGTCCTACGAAGATTTTGCAAAGAGGCCAATGATGTACAGAGAAGCCATAAAAGTAACTGCACTACACCACCAGTCGAATAGGTAGAGGTGACTACAGTTAACCAGTTAGCAAGGAGGAGGTTCAGCTTGTGCTGTTTTTGATCATGCTTTTTGCATTGCAAATTGAATCAACACTGGAAAGGAGATGAATGCCGGTAGCAAACTGAAACACAATCAAAATATGAACAGTGGGTTTACAGCTGCTGTCTTTAAAATGGCAGGTGACCTTAAAAGTGCCCGACCAATCAAGGACGTTCAGCGTTGCAGGCCCTGCCCTAAAACCTTTGGAATGTTCTAGCCCCAGAGCAGGGTCTTTTTTAGGAGTAGATCAAATACCCCGGAACTACTATCAGACCCTGGTTCCTGCGGTAGAAATGCACATCGAAAATGTCCTTAGTTCCAGGGGAAAGTTCCTGCGGTTGAAAAGGGGCTAAAGTCACCATTTAAAAAAAAAAAAGACTTCAACCTTATAAAATGTCCAAGAACTGACCTTCAATGACTCTCGTGAATATGGTTGGAGACTGTCCATCAATCACCCTGGTTACTGTAGATTGTGAAGGATTGCCCTGGATGACCCTGGTAACCTTTTTAAAGGAAGGGTCACCCTGGATGACCCTGGTTACCTCCGTTTTAGAGGGGTCGCCCTGGACAATCCTGGTTATCTCATCTGGATAGGGTGTTCAAAAGAATGTTTGAACATATCTGGCTGTCTATTATTGCAATATCGTATTACATATAATTTGTTGTTTTTTTCATACAACTTTACAGCAGCCATGCAGGAAGGAAACAGCAAATTACTGTTCCAACATTAAGTGGCACTGTTATTTCTTTTGCCAGCCCTTTTATGAGTTTGAATGACATGTCTGTCCACTTAAATTGGATCACCAAGCAAACAAAGTAAAAGTCATTGTGTTAAATCTGTTCTCAACAAGACGGTGGATGCATGTGTTAGAAGAGCTGTTAGAAGATGAAGGAACATCTTAGATCAAGAGCTATTGTCCTATATAGGGAAATGACAGTGTTGAAAGAAACTTACCTGCTATTCTCTCTGCATCTACATTGAGATCTCCACCTGTGTAAAATCAAATGTCATGTCATCAATTCCATCCTCATTTTGCCATCTTTAACCCCTTTTCGACCAAAGGTCCCCAGAACTTTTAGTCGCAGGGACTTCTCTTCAAGAAACTGAATGGTTCTTGTGGCCCATGTTGTCAGCATTTCCACCATGGTCTGAAGTCCTACGAAGATTATGCAAAAAGGCCAATGATGTACAGAGACGCCATAAAAGTAACTGCACTACACCGCCAGTCGAATAGGTGGAGGTAAGAAGAAGGTGAAGGCCATAAAATTAAGATGACGACATACTGTATAAGCGACGGACCGGCCAGCATCATCATTTGTGCGACACTACAGTTAGCATGGAGGAGGTTTAGCTTGTGCTGTTTTGCAAATCAATTCACTGATTCAACACTGGAAAGGAGACGAGCGCCAGTCGCAAAGTGAGACACAATCAAAATATAAACATTGGGCTTACATCTGCAGTTTTAAAAATGGCAGGTGACCTTAAATGCTACGAGTGCCGGACCAATCAGGGACGTTCCCAAAATCTTTGGAATGTTCTAGCCCCAGAGCAGGGTCTTTTTTAGGAGTAGATCAATTATCCAGAACTACTATCAGACCCTGGTTCCTGAAGTAGAAATGAACATAGACAGCATCCTTAGTTCCAGGGGAAAGTTCCTGCGGTTGAAAAGGGGCTAAAGTCACCATTTAAAAAAAGAAAAAGATTTCAACCTTATAAAATGTCCAAGAACTGACCTTCAGTGACTCTCATGACTTTGGTAGAAGACTGTCCATCAATCACCCTGGTTACTGTAGGTTGTGAAGGCTTGCCCTTGATGACCCTGGTAACCTTTTTAAAGGAAGGGTCACCCTGGATGACCCTGGTTACCTCTGTTTTGGAGGGGTCGCCCTGGACAACCCTGGTAATCTCATCTGGATAGGGTGTTCAAAAGAATGTTTGAACATATCTGGCTGTCTATTATTGCAATATCGTATTACATATAATTTGTTGTTTTTTTCATACCACTTTACAGCAGCCATGCAGGAAGGAAACAGCAAATTACTGTTCCAACATTCAGTGGCACTGTTATTTCCTTTGCTAGACCTTTTATGAGTTTGAATCATAATCTAAAATTTAATGGAAGAGTTTAGAATAACAAGGTAGAGCAGTAAGTGTTATATTAATAACCTATATAAAGTGATCTGGAAAATAATGATTATATCATTAATAAACATGTCCAAAATGGCTTTAATTTTTCAACACATTCGATAATCTACCAACAGGAAATGTACCACGAAGACTAATATGGTGTGCACCATGAAAATGACATGTCTGTCCACTTAATCTGGATCACCAAGCAAAAAAAGTAAAAGTCATTGTGTTAAATCTGTTCTCAACAAGACGGTGGGTGCATGTGTTAGAAGAGCTGTTAGAAGATGAAGGAACATCTTAGATCAAGAGCTATTGTCCTATATAGGGAAATGACAGTGTTGAAAGAAACTTACCCGCGATTCTCTCTGCATCTACATTAAGATCTCCACCTGTGTAAAATCAAATGTCATGTCATAAATTCAGCCCACATTTTTGCCATCTTTAACCCCTTTTCGACCAAAGGTCCCCAGAACTTTTAGTCGCAGGGACTTCTCTTCAAGAAACTAAACTTCCTGTCGCCCATGTTGTCAGCATTTCCACCATGGTCTGAAGTCCTACGAAGATTTTGCAAAGAGGTCAATGATGTACAGAGAAGCCATAAAAGTAACTGCACTACACCACCAGTCGAATAGGTAGAGGTGACTACAGTTGACCAGTTAGCAAGGAGGAGGTTCAGCTTGTGCTGTTTTTGATCATGCTTATTGCATTGCAAATTGATTCACTGAATCAACACTGGAAAGGAGATGAATGCCGTTAGCAAACTGAAACACAATCAAAATATGAACAGTGGGTTTACAGCTGCTGTCTTTAAAATGGCAGGTGACCTTAAAAGTGCCCGACCAATCAAGGACGTTCAGCGTTGCAGGCCCTGCCCTAAAACCTTTGGAATGTTCTAGCCCCAGAGCAGGGTCTTTTTTAGGAGTAGATCAAATACCCCGGAACTACTATCAGACCCTGGTTCCTGCGGTAGAAATGCACATCGAAAATGTCCTTAGTTCCAGGGGAAAGTTCCTGCGGTTGAAAAGGGGCTAAAGTCACCATTTGAAAAAAAAAAAAGACTTCAACCTTATAAAATGTCCAAGAACTGACCTTCAATGACTCTCGTGATTATGGTAGGAGACTGTCCATCAATCACCCTGGTTACTGTAGATTGTGAAGGATTGCCCTGGATGACCCTGGTAACCTTTTTAAAGGAAGGGTCACCCTGGATGACCCTGGTTACCTCCGTTTTAGAGGGGTCGCCCTGGACAACCCTGGTTATCTCATCTGGATAGGGTGTTCAAAAGAATGTTTGAACATATCTGGCTGTCTATTATTGCAATATCGTATTACATATAATTTGTTGTTTTTTTCATACAACTTTACAGCAGCCATGCAGGAAGGAAACAGCAAATTACTGTTCCAACATTCAGTGGCACTGTTATTTCTTTTGCCAGCCCTTTTATGAGTTTGAATGACATTGTTTTCCACTTAAATTGGATCACCGAGCAAACAAAGTAAAAGTCATTGTGTTAAATCTGTTCTCAACAAGACGGTGGATGCATGTGTTAGAAGAGCTGTTAGAAGATGAAGGAACATCTTAGATCAAGAGCTATTGTCCTATTTAGGGAAATGACAGTGTTGAAAGAAACTTACCTGCTATTCTCTCTGCATCTACATTGAGATCTCCACCTGTGTAAAATCAAATGTCATGTCATCAATTCCATCCTCATTTTGCCATCTTTAACCCCTTTTCGACCAAAGGTCCCCAGAACTTTTAGTCGCAGGGACTTCTCTTCAAGAAACTGAATGGTTCTTGTGGCCCATGTTGTCAGCATTTCCACCATGGTCTGAAGTCCTACGAAGATTATGCAAAAAGGCCAATGATGTACAGAGACGCCATAAAAGTAACTGCACTACACCGCCAGTCGAATAGGTGGAGGTAAGAAGAAGATGAAGGCCATACAATAAAGATGACGACATACTGTATAAGCGACGGACAGGCCAAAATCATAATTTGTGCGACACTACAGTAAGCAAATTTGCACAGATGAGGTTCAGCTCGTGCTGTTTTGCAAATGGATTCACTGATTCAACACTGGAAAGGAGATGAATGCCGGTAGTAAACTGAAACACAATCGAAATATAAACAGTGGGCTTACAGCTGCTGTCTTTAAAATGGCAGGTGACCTTAAAAGTGCCCGACCAATCAAGGACGTTCAGCGTTGCAGGCCCTGCCCCCAAAATCTTTGGAATGTTCTAGCCCCAGAGCAGGGTCTTTTTTAGGAGTAGATCAAATACCCTGGAACTACTATCAGACCCTGGTTCCTGCGGTAGAAATGCACATCGAAATCGTCCTTAGTCCCAGGGGAAAGTTCCTGCGGTCGAAAAGGGGCTAAAGTCACCATTTAAAAAAAAAAAAAAAGATTTCAACCTTATAAAATGTCCAAGAACTGACCTTCAATGACTCTCGTGACTATGGCAGGAGACTGTCCATCAATCACCCTGGTTACTGTAGATTGTGAAGGATTGCCTTGGATGACCCTGGTAACCTTTTTAAAGGAAGGGTCACCCTGGATGACCCTGGTTACCTCCGTTTTGGAGGGGTCGCCCTGGACAACCCTGGTAATCTCATCTGGATAGGGTGTTCAAAAGAATGTTTGAACATATCTGGCTGTCTATTATTACAATATCGTATTACATATAATTTGTTGTTTTTTTCATACCACTTTACAGCAGCCATGCAGGAAGGAAACAGCAAATTACTGTTCCAACATTCAGTGGCACTGTTATTTCTTTTGCTAGACCTTTTATGAGTTTGAATCATAATCTAAAATTTAATGGAAGAGTTTAGAATAACAAGATAGAGCAGTAAGTGTTATATTAATAACCTATATAAAGTGATCTGGAAAATAATGATTATATCATTAATAAACATGTCCAAAATGGCTTTAATTTTTCAACACATTCGATAATCTACCAACAGGAAATGTACCACGAAGACTAATATGGTGTGCACCATGAAAATGACATGTCTGTCCACTCAAATTGGATCACCAAGCAAACAAAGTAAAAGTCATTGTGTTAAATCTGTTCTCAACAAGACGGTGGATGCATGTGTTAGAAGAGCTGTTAGAAGATGAAGGAACACCTTAGATCAAGAGCTATTGTCCTATATAGGGAAATGACAGTGTTGAAAGAAACTTACCTGCTATTCTCTCTGCATCTACATTGAGATCTCCACCTGTGTAAAATCAAATGTCATGTCATCAATTCCATCCTCATTTTGCCATCTTTAACCCCTTTTCGACCAAAGGTCCCCAGAACTTTTAGTCGCAGGGACTTCTCTTCAAGAAACTGAATGGTTCTTGTGGCCCATGTTGTCAGCATTTCCACCATGGTCTGAAGTCCTACGAAGATTATGCAAAAAGGCCAATGATGTACAGAGAAGCCATAAAAGTAACTGCACTACACCGCCAGTCGAATAGGTGGAGGTAAGAAGAAGATGAAGGCCATACAATAAAGATGACGACATACTGTATAAGCGACGGACCGGCCAAAATCATCATTTGTGCGACACTACAGTTAGCAAATTTGCACAGATGAGGTTTAGCTAGTGCTGTTTTGCAAATGGATTTACTGATTCAACACTGGAAAGGAGACGAGCGCCAGTAGCAAAGTGAGACACAATCAAAATATGAACAGTGGGCTTACAGCTGCTGTCTTTAAAATGGCAGGTGACCTTAAATGCTACGAGTGCCGGACCAATCAGGGACGTTCCCAAAACCTTTGGAATGTTCTAGCCCCAGAGCAGGGTCTTTTTTAGGAGTAGATCAATTACCCAGAACTACTATCAGACCCTGGTTCCTGAAGTAGAAATGAACATAGACAGCATCCTTAGTTCCAGGGGAAAGTTCCTGCGGTCAAAAAGTCACTATTTTAAAAAACAACATTATTTCAACCTTATAAAATGTCCAAGAACTGACCTTCAATGACTCTCGTGGTGATGGACGGTTCTCCTTCAATCACTCTGATCACCTTTATTGGATCGGAGCCTACAGAGAAGGAGAGGAAACATCGGCATCACATGAGTGATAGAGATTGAGAATTTTGTGCGACATTTACATGTTTGATACTAAAAGAATGTTGTGAACTGATTTGAAAATGCAACAACGAAAAAAAATGTGACATGTTACATAATCCTTTAACACATTTTCATCCTGTCAGTGAAATCCCATTAGGGACCAGATATCTCTTTGAAACACCACAGCTGCTGCAGGAACTGCAGCCAGGGACATACTTTCACTTCTTTTATTTTCTTCTGATTCAGAGAGATGAATTTTTAATGTTACAGTATTTTTTACGAGCTACAAAGATATGAAAGCAGACATGTGTTGGTATTAAAGAGCTTCTTAGGCCTGACATCTCCTGGTATGAGCCCCAGTTGTGTTGCAAGACCTCGATTCATGACTGCTTTCAAACAATGCCATGTGGGAAATTTTAGCTAATTCATAATTATAATCATAATCTGTAGTCTATCTTTGTTTACAGGCTTTCTTTCTATTTCAATTCCTTCAGATCAAAACTCCCACTTTTGGAATTTATCGCGATGACTTATTCATACAATACTCTTCAGATATTGTGTATTGATAGAGGGAAATGTTACAAAGAAAGCAAAGCCTCAAGAAGTTTAATTTATCAATCGCATTCTTTAAAACCATTTTGCAATGTGATGTTATACCTTTTCTGCACCCATTGAAATTCTACTGTAGCCAATTTTTTGAAAAAATGATAAATTATTCACTGACACCAGAAGCTGCCATCTGCATCATTGTTCTCCCTCTTTCTGCTTCTCTATTTAATGTAAACAGAGAGTCTTGTGCAGTTGTGAACCGTCTAGACCCATAAATGTCAGTGATGTCAATTTGTATATAATGTAAAAGCGTTTTTTTGTTTCTTAAATCATTGACAAAGAAAAGTGGAAAAAATAAAAATAATGAAGTATAATGTATATTTTTATGTTACACTTAAGCATCAAATCCTCATAATGTAATAGTCTGTTTAATTTGACGTATTTCCTTTGAAGAAACCGACTTCAACGCTAACCCAAAACTTAAAGGAATACTTGTATCTGTTTGTCAGTACACTGGACTTAGTCCAGCAGGCCTTCATCTCTGAGCCTTTTATGCTGCGACAGCCTGACTCTGTTATCCCCTAAGGGGCTGATTCAAGATGTCAAGAGGTTCAAGTGGACATAAAAATCGCAATTCGATAAGTGAACAAAGAAAAAAAACAAATGAAGCGTTGCAATAAATGAAAGCAGATGCTCATTTTTGAACAAAATGACAATTATTCATTCAAGTAGAACATGTGATGTATAATCATGACAGCTTCATAAAAATGGTTTTAGTCAGGTAAATAGTCATGGTGGTCTTTCCATTTTTTATATAAGTTGTGATGGTCCTCTCTGTGAAGTAGCAAAAGATGTGTTACGTTGTTGCAGATATAATTATATTTAGATGACATACTGTGACTTTGTATAGTTGAAACTTACTGATGAAGGTGAGTGGGATCTCAGAATAAGAAAATCCAGAAACAAACTAAAAAAAACAAAAATAAAATCAGAATGTAGGCTTGAAGAAAAAACTGATTGTTTAATGAAACAATTGTTTGTGATCTTTTTATATTCATGCATGTGTATTTTCTCATCCTCCACCTTAATCTGGATGTACTTAATCAGCTTCTTCAGGAGAACCAGGAGGTCCTGGCGGCCCACAGGAAGGTCTGTAAGTAATATGCATAATCAGAAAAAAGAAAGAAAGAAAGAAGAAAAGACTTAATGCGTCCAAGTACAGAGTTCACATTGCATGCATGTATAAAAATGAGTGCTGTTCTCACCAGCAGGATAGAGAACATTCTTCACCACATGGATCACACCATTTGTTGCCATCAGGTCACTGTCTGGAACCCCCACGGAGTTGACAAGAATAGAGTTATTAACCTGGCAAAAAGAAAAAAAAGATATATATTTCTATCTATTTCTAGTTTTTCTAGTCTAATGTTTATTCTCCCTAAAGACAATAAAATCACACTTTTTTTAAACATTTTTCTTTGCTGTCAGGTGAGTCTCAATAGAAAACCCAGACGATGTTCCCAGAGCGAGATCTGGGAATCCACTCGTGAATAATGTCCTGCAATTTATTGTCTCTATGGAGGTGTAGCAGAAGGTGGATATGCCGAATAAGCAAGGGATAAGTTTCCCTCTCACCCTCTGGAATAAAAATCACAACTTTCACCCACAGTCTAGTCTTTAAATGTAAGAAGAACATGTGTCCTTGAATTAATCTCCCCTCTTTTCCTTTTTTGCTTGAGGCCTGGATCGCCCACTTTCCTGACGGTGACTTATCTCAAACAAGCTCTCCTGTATCTACAGTATAAAGGAAGTCCTGTAGGCTTGATATTTGACCTTGGCTGATAACCTGATATACAGAACACAATAAGAGAAAGGGGGAGAGCGGTAATGGGTGAATGATGATAGAGGTGCCATGCAGACTGATAAAAAAAAAAGAAAGAGCAAAGCTGACGGAAACAAATGAGAGCGTCAGAGGGGAAGATGGAGACAGGCGGGAAAACAGCATAGTGGGCGTTGATGGAAATGACAGGAAGCCAGGTTTTATTACTTTTGGCCTTTCTCCAGAGATAACAAGCTTCAAAGTAACGGATTAGCATTAGCTCTTTGATGCTATTGTTGAAATGAGAATGTGGGGAAAGATTGGGTTCAAGGGATGATATTACATAACACCAATATGCTCTTAAAGGAAGAAGCGACCCTTGGATATTGGCTACTTTGCTTATTCCTCAACTTTAAATATCTTACATTTCCCAGAAATCCTTTTATTGTAATATTTAACTTGCATTTTTTTTTGTCTAGTAGACTAATCATGGCAGAACATTAAAGTCAAAATGCACATTCTTGATATCTTGAAATTCATGAACTGTAGATATTGTCGTTGTCATTTAATGATTCTGTAGACAGAAATACTCAAAAACTGACTGGTTGTACATACAGACGTGACTTGCAGGTTGTTGCCCTGGATGGTTTTAAGCAGATTGGTGACTCCCCCTTCTAATCCTCCATTGATGAAGACGCCATTACTGAAGTGGTACAGCAGAATGACCCTCAGAGCATTCAGATCACCTGCCAATGACATCACAAGACATCAAATTCCTGATGTTGTTTTATTTTTTAATTTTTACAGTTTGTATCAGACTAGCTTAAGCAATCCTCACTTTTGAGCAGAGTGAAGTCTTCTCTAGAGAGGCCCTCAAAGGCATCGTCAGTGGGTGCAAAGATGGTGTAGGAGCCCTCCTGCTTGAGCAGATCAGTCAGACCTGCTGTCTCCATCAGTGACAGGAAAATCCTATATGTGTTCAAATTAACAAAAGATAAGACAGTAAAAAGTTACCAATTTACACTTACAACATATTTGTTCACTGAAATAAAGCCCAAGCTAATTTGGGTGCACAGAAGTGATTATCCTGATTATGTTTTACAACCCACAAAGACAAATACAATTATTTTTAAAATGCAAAGCAGAAAGAAATGTTGAACTGCAAGTGAAAGCAAAAGGACAAATAATTGCCAGCACAGATGGTAATTTTGAGGATATAATGGATTGTTAGTCTGAATGTCATTTGTTCTTTGTCTCATCTATCTCCTCCGACTAGCTGGTGTTTACCTCAGGAGAATCTTGTGTATATGGAAGACGACTGTCATCAGTTCAGACTCCCCCCTCTCTGCATGTAAAAAGTCTATTCAGGCTTTCTTATGGTGCCTACTTGACTTACTTGAGTAGAAACTCATTTGTTGTCAGTTTCTGTTTGTCATCACACTAAACTGCTTTTCTTTTAACTGAATAAGCTTGTACAGTTTGGACTGAAACCAAGTCCTTATTTCTTTTTTCCTAATGAAAGAAAAACTCTGCAAGCGAGGGCAAACATTTTTTTTGTTGCTTTTATGAGACCGGATTGCACTTTACATCATCATTTGGACCACAAACCAGCAGTGTGTTGCTCATTATAAACAGGGGGATTATTGTTATGGCAGTGTAAAATGAGGAGGATCAGGTTGGGGGATTTGTGTGAGATTTGTGTGCTTGAGAGGTCCCATTAAACAAACATCTGCTCCTTCAGTTATTTAGCATCTGCATCTACCAGTGCCAATAATGTCACACAAGCAGAAAATCCCAAATGGTTGTGGTTGGACATCGCCTCTTATGTTTGTGAAATGTATTTCTGAGGATAGTAATGTTTTCCTTATGCTACAAATCAATTTATCAGCTGTCCTTTCCTGTTACAATTTCCCAAGGTTACGACATATGTTCAACTTTATGTGTTATTAAGTTAACAATGAGTTAAAAGGGACCCCAATCATAAAACAGAAGTACAGTATGTATTTCTCCTGGTTCCCTATTTCATGTTTTTTTACAGAACCACTGAAAAATTATTTTTAATGTGATACATTTTAAATTTGGTGATTCAGTAGCAAAGGTAATGAATGAAAGAAACTGCAGAGAAACCTTCACAGTTACATATTCATACTTGAAGTTGATACAGGCACACACATGCTATTAATCACGCTTCAGTAAGTATAAAGCTACAAAAAAAAGCAATTCTGATTCAAATGAAGTTTTGATATGTCTTAACAATTCAGTTGAAAAAATAAAAAAATGTTATTTCCTAAAATTATACAAATTGTTGGGAACTCAGGAATGCAAATATATCTCAAACAACAACAGTTCAGTCCTCATGATAGCACTAATTGAAAGGAATAATAACTGGTAGATCTAGTTCTTACTTGAAGCGTCCGTCAATGACCAGAAGCTGGTAGATGGTTTTCTCAGCGGGTGTGATGAGTGACTTCATCACATGGAGCGCTCCGTTACTTCCCTCTTTACCTCCACGCATCATACAGGCATTTTCTATGCACACAGCCTGACAAAGGAAGAACAATCAAAGGGCCGGGTTACATATTTATAAGTGACTAGACGGTCTGGTTCCTATTAAGATTAGGGGAGAGAAACTGTCAAACAGTCCTGTTAGACCGCAATCAATCAAAAACCAACAATACAAATGTTTCTGTGATGAAATGAAACAGCTGTTTCTCTCTGAACCATCAAAGCAGAATCACACTTCATCCTCCAAGAGCTTGACTAATTACCTTTAAAAAAAAAAATCATGGTAACACTTTGTGACTTGTCTGAAATGGATCGCAGATTTCCAATGAGCAATCCAATCATCTCCATTTCCTTTCTATCACTTATTTTTCCTTTATTTTTCATTGCCCTGCCTGAATCTTTTCAATCTTCAATGTGAAAATTAACCAAACACATTCACTGACCGTGCGGTAAATGAAGACTCTGAGCAGTTTGCCGGCCAGTGTTTCCAGCAGCTGTCCGTTGTAGAGTTCATTCAGTGTGATTTTCAACTTGAGGATGTGGTTTTCCAAAATGTATTTCAAAAAACTTTGATCTGTGGACATCACCTCCTCTGACAAACCAAAAGAATATTACAAATTATCATGAGAAGCATATCATAATGAAACACTTTTTTCCAGTGTGTACAATGAAAAAGACAAGTATGAAAAAGATTAAATATTTAAGTATAGTTTTGATCTGTGATACACAAAGCATGCATTTTCTTTAACATTCTTAACTACCTTTACCCTATAGAATTTCTTACTTTTTGTGACAAACATTTTGTTATTTTTGACGAGGATCGCAGTTTTAGTCACAATGCATATATAATTTTTACTATAGCATTTAAGAAAACAAATTGACAAATTTTAATAAACCAAAGAATATATACTTTAAGAACCCCAAACCTACCCCACCCCCATTGGTCTTTCTCTGAAATCCACAATGAAGGGAGGATTTGTCTTAACAGTACTTTTCAAATTAGATACAATGAATTAAACAAGGATATAAAAAAGCAAAAGGAGCTCCTTGGATTTCTCCTCACTTGTGAATGCAGTGTTGACAGGAGCCAGTAGTGTGTACTCTCTCTTCGGACCCAATGCGGCGGCTAATCCCAACTCAGACACCATGTCGCTGAAGGTGCTCTGGGTTTCTCCCACCAACTCCATGACCTCCTTGGCTGATATGAATCACATTAGATGTACATGTTGGTAAAGCCAACACTGTGAACAGAAATAATGGTTGCACATAGGGTTAGTTTTAGACTCCTAATATAAAATGTTATTTACCTGAGTCGGGGATGAGCACTTTATCGATGAGGTGGATAACACCGTTGGATGTGACGATGTCCTTCTTCAGCACCATCTTGATACCGTTGACCGTCAGACTGTTGCCATCACAGCCGATCTCTATGGTGCTGCCTTCTGCCGTCTCATATGTGGACCCACTCATGATTGCCTCAGAGCATTGCACACTGTTGAGCAGGTGGTAGTTCACCAAAGCTGAGGAGATGGGTCAAAGTTCGAAGGAGATAGAGGAAGAAAACTCTTTTATAGGCTTTTTGGATTAATTCTGTTTGTTCTGAGAGTTCTTGCAACTCTTTAAGTAGTATAGGCACATTAAGATATATGATTACATCTCTAACTTTATCCTACTGTCAAACTTAGCAAGCAGAACTAGCGAAAGCAATGCAATAACACAATGAAAAAACCTCCCCAAACCCAAACAAACTCATGTACAATCATTATCCAACTGTGAGCCAAATTGCTCTCTGACTGAAACATGCCTGGTCCAAACAAGGCATAAGGCTCCATTTCAACCCTTACTGTCGAGGCTGTTCTAATATTAGATTATATAAAACATGGACAAAGTCTCTGTGACGTCATCCATTGGTTTCTGAGGAGGCTTTATGAGGCCCAAAAAGTAAGGCCACCATTTGTGAAATGCTGACTCCACTAGTCTCAAGTGGACATTCAAGGAACAGCAGTTTTTTTTTTGCATTTTTCAGACCCTTGGATTTTAGTTTGGTTCTGAAGTTGTTTGCACAGTGTCTGAAAAATATATCTGAAGCTAAACTGAGTTAGAAACATGTGGAGGACACTGCAGTACTCATGCTTATATACCTTCCTGTGAGGCCAGTGACTCAGCCAATCTAATCATCATCAGTATCATATTTACTATATACCTGCAATTACATCCTTGTCTCCCATGATGCGCTCAAGGTGACCCGGGGCTAGTTTGTCAAAGGCCTCATTAGTTGGGGCAAACAAAGTGTAGTGTCCTGGCTGGTCAAGTTTGTCCATCATGCCAGACGCCAACGCTGCAGCCTGGTTAACAAGACAGGGTCTCACATGTAACATTCTGTCAAACCTAAAGGTACTAAAGTGCATCAAACATTTTTTAGAAGCATTATTAAAAAGTGTAACATGTTGTAAATAGTTAATTTCAGAGATGAGCTTCGCATTTTTTAAGCTTACACTGAAGGAGGTGAGGTCATCGTTGACATCCAGGACGCCCTTGATGGTGTTGCTCACAAAGCCGATGACCCGATCAATAACATGCACCACACCGTTGGTTGCAACTTGGTTACCATGAATGATCCTGGCACAGTTCACTGTTACGATCTTCACAGAGGAAATGAATGCTTAAGTAATCAAACATTCAGGTCAAAAGAACAACTCAATTATATGTTCAGCAATCTTTGGCTTTTACTGACCCCATTTGAGTAGTGGTTGATGTAGAGCCCCAGGTCGTTGTACATGGAGGTGACAGTGATGTCGTTCTTCAGGTCTTTGGTTAGAAATCGACGGTTCACCATGTGGAAGTGAAGAGCGTTGTACAGCTCGATGTTTACATTGCTCTCCAGTGCAGACCGCATTTCCTGGGAAAGAAAACACAACATAATTGAAAAAGCATTAATGTGTGTGTGAGTGATAGAGTTATTTATATTAGCAAGCTTACACTATTAGTCTACTTACAGGTGCCAGCTGATCCCAGGCTTCATTGCTGGGTGCAAACATGGTGAAAGAACCTTTGCCTTCAATTTCTTCTCTCAGCTTGGACATGTCAGTGTATTGCTGTGTTGTTGTAGCCTTTACGAGCCCGAGAGTACCATACACATGGTCGATGGGAGCCACTAATCGGAAAAAAGTTCATGATCAGAAAAATACCTGTCTAAAGTTACAAACTAGTGACAATTTGAATCAATGCCTATACATAGAATAATAATTTCACAAGACTAAAATGGTGATGTGGAAAGAGTTAACAACCTGCAGGGCATCCTTTCATGCCTTCCAGATTCATGTACCCAGGACAGCACTCATAAAGGACCACACTTTAAACAAAAAGACAAAGATGTTAGACATGTGAGTGACTTGGAAAAAATAAATTATCCACATTAAAGTTAAAAATGTACAAATAAATGATTTATTCAGCACACTAGAGTTGTACATTATGATGATAAGCTGTTTCCAGGAGCAGCAGGAAGACAAATATTCCATAACAAGATTCAATGTGAATGTAATTAGGTTGAGAACACAAGAGAAGAAGAACAAACTACATCTGTAGTTGTAACAGGAGAAAATTACAAGTGCTTGGATCGAGAACTGTGCAGATATTTGAGACAGGAGAAGAAAAGGCTGCATAAAGAAAGGACTCCCTTAAAAAAAAAAAGAAATCCATTACTGGGCATAGCGCTTTTTGAAAGTGCAAGCAGAAGAAGCAATTATGTGAGAAAACATCCCAAAAAAAGTGATCAAGTCAAGTAAAGGGTAATTAAAAACGACAAGAAAAACAGAATTTAACAAGAAAGTGGTTCCTTCAATGCTTTCTTGGCAGAAATGGAAAGACTCCCAGCCGGCCAATCACTGAGAAACGCTGGACTGGACTCAGAAAGAAAGGCTAGATGAGGCACTTGCCTCAACAGAGCTGGCCAACATCACTTCCAATATCTCATGCCATAGATTAGAAGAAAAAAAACTCAGCAGACAGAAAAAAAAGGCTTTAGGTCAACAGGATCAATGTTCTTTGCTCTCCCTTTTTAAAACGATTCTTGGATAAAATATGTCCTGGTTTCTTTTACAGCCTTCCCATTATTCAATCCAACCACACGAGAGAAACATAATGGAAACACAGGGCTCACACATTCGTAAGGAAATAAGAGCGCAACAGTTTGTATATTTATACTGAAAATAAAGGAACCTGAAAACCAGACTAAGGTGTCCACTGACCTCCTACACTTTCTCTTGGCCATTAATCTTCATGTATGGTCCACTTTATGTGCTGGTACGTAAAGACTAGCTCATGAATATTTGACACAAAGCTAAAAGAAGAAGAAACATCCTGAAAAGGGAGATGAGAAGCCCTGTTATCATGAGGAAGCTGCACATCTGATCCATGTTCCTCATCAGTCGTATGTTTGAAACAACTGGAGTTGTACTTTATTGCAGTGTTATAAATGACAGAAAGAGTTGTGTCAGACAGTGTGAGCCACTAGTTAATGGTCTGTAAAATTACAGTTTTCAAAGGGATTAATTACTTTTTTCATGTGGAGTTTAACTAAAACATGAGCATTAAATGGAAATCAAAAAAGACATTTTAATTGGACTTAGTCGAGCTACCAAGTCTTCCAAAATGCAAACAAGTGAGTCAACATTGGACACTCCATCAGAGAAAGAGTCAGAGAAATGTCTGGACGCTGGAGGAGATTTGATTGGGATTCAACCCAAAGCCAATTACAGGTTCCAGTTGGACTTTTACAGTGTTTGCTAAGGAGTTTTGCTTGGAGAGGAGTGTATTACACATTCACTGCATGTGGGGCCAGGTTTTAAGATTTCCAGCTTCAAAAAAAAAAAAGAAAAGAAACCATTGCCTTTTTTTGTACAAACTCTGTATTTTCTCTGCAAAACAAGTTAGTGTCTGCCTTCCTTTCGGAGTCAACCATCTTGATATATGTTAGCACAAATCACTCCCTTTGTAGCCCACTTCAAGCATGCATGCACAAACCACAAAGCTGTCACTTTCTCCCTGCTACTCCCTCTAATGACTCACGTCTTTTGGCAAACATCTCTAAACCATCTTAATCTGTATTGGTGTATTAACGGAAATGTGTGTGATGGTTCTAAATTTTGTGAATTTTCTATTTTTGTGCACACAGCCATGCCCTTTATGACGCCCTGCAATCATTCCTTAATTTGACAGTAATAGTTGTAATGTAAAATACATAAATATCCATGCACAGCTGCTGTCAGGATGGTATGATGTCATTGCTCCCAGGCCGAGCCCTGACAGGATAATGGATGCAGAATGGACCAGAGACCAAACTAACCAATGTAAACTGCAGCCAGGCCTCTGGAGCTGTCACCGTAGGGAACCAGAGCAATGTGGCATCCAGATGAGCACATGTGCAACACACATACGTAAACACACAAAGACTTAGACTGACATGGGGGGGTTGTCTGGCATTGGAATAAAACATTACAGTTCTTTCTTGTTTGTGTGTATTAATCCATCAAATGTCTCTTGAGTCTTTTTTGTCTGAAGTTCATTTTTTTCTTTATTTTTAAACACTCTTTTTGTCTGTAAATTAAGTACCTAAAGCTCTGACATAATTCTGATTTAACCACAAAGGATTTTAAGCACTTATCCTCTGCTCTGTATGTTGTGTTCGTCACTGACAGCATGTCCTTTTGAAGTAGATTGCTTCCACCTGAACATCCAAGAGTTCTTTGTGCAAACAGAGACATTAAGAGAAAAATCACAATGACCTCCTGAGAGGATAATTAAGAAGAAAATACCGTGCAGATTAGAATCATATCAACACCATTTGTTCCATGATGTTGTGGTTTCTAAAAGATTCAGTCCCGGTATGACTTCAGCTGCTGCACCCTCAGAGCGTGTCAAGACACCAGCCAGTAGTGAAAACAAAACTTTATAATGTGGGCTCAAACAGCCTTTCCTAATCTCTCATCAACACCTAATCCCACCGAGACATAACCACAGCTGGCTGGATTTCCTTCGCTTTTGCTGAACAATGCCCAGATTGTGACCACAGACAACAAGGGAGATCATATCGTTTGATGGCCTGACTCACTTCTTACCTCCGTATCAGTGGCGGTTCTAGACCACTTTTACTGAGGGGGCCAAATTGGGGCCAGTTGTTTTGACAGAGGGGAACATTAAACCCAGGTAAAAAATAGACAAAGATGATCGCTTTAAAATATATATATATTGTGCCAAATAATAGCACACATCATTAAATACCACAACATTAAATACCATGATTTATATTTGTTTCAGTAATAGAATTTAATACTAGATTGTGAGTTCGGTTGTTGACTCAAATACTGTGTATGTGTTATGAGGGAGTTCCCTGAGAACTATACACCATGGGGACCTCTTTTCTGTCTGTGCCGCCATGGTACCTACTCTGAAGCAGGAGCTGAAAAGGTTCCTTTAAACAGATAGAGACTAAAATAGTTCATAGTTCGGTGCAGAATCAATAAAAAAGGGGGAAGGTTCCAACAGTTCCTAGAACTATGAAAATGTTCCTCCTGTCCGAAAAAGCCTATTGTCCTGTCTCAATATCAGTCACTGTCGTCTTTTTGTAATTTATTTTCAACTCCAAGTTTCTTTTTAAAATGGGATTTTTCAGCTGTATACATGCATGTGTGTTGATGGATTTAGGTTTATGATATAGAGTACAGTATATGAGATACAAAGTATAAGTTTTTTTTTTTTTAATCCTTCTTCAGCTACTCTTTAGTCATAGACTTGGCAGAACAGCTCCAGCCGAGCCCTACACTCCATCAACATATCTGCAGCTGTGACTCACATTTTCTCAAATCTACTCGTTCTGCATATCATGCCACAATAATTATGACCTCAGTGTATTAGAAACACATCTCTAATACTTTATAGTTAGTCCAAAAGTCTTGTATCATTCATCCGCTCCACTGTTTGATTTGCAACCATACTTTTCTGCTTAGAACTTATTTCAAGTTTTGCACAAAACAATTTCTCACTATAAGAATGATCCTATAGTAGTTTTTACAGCTGTACAATAACAAATAACTAATTTAACACAGTCACACAAATTAATTCTCCACTGCTCACCAAGAACCTAAATCTGGTGAAACTAGAGGGGCTTGTTCACATGCAAACATGGACTCTGAGAGCATATAGAATGAATATTTCCTTTGCATCTAAAACCTGTCAGTGTGGAAGTGGAGCAGTGTTCAGAAGAGTTTACAAGATCAACAGGCTCATAATGGAGTGAACCCCCAGCCCTGCAGGCTGCACAGCATGCCCAGACATAAGAGGAGGAGGGGGGGGGGATGATGAGGACAAAGAAGGACAGTATTACTGCATTTATATGTATTCCATGTTTAGGAAACAAGTTGTGAAACACAGCAGTAAAGTCAGAACATATTTTTGTATGCTGAGCTAAAGCACTGGGAAAAACAAGAATCATAAGCTGTAGCTTGGATTTTTTTTTCTTTACGAGCATGTCTGAGGAACTCCCAAAACTTAAAAAGACATTTTTATAATCTGTGTAATGTATATGTTCACTCATCATCACCTGTTTTATGGAAATACAAAGGAGAAAGTGAGATTATTGAATGCTCAGCTAGGACAGAGGGCCTTAGGGTGCAAAAAGGCACTGAAAGTTGATCTGACTCATAAAATCTGGAATATTGCTGTCTTTCTGCAGGGTGTGTGAAAAGCTGGGAGCAGTTTGCACTTTGAGTTTGTGCAAATACAATAAAAAGAATAAAACAAATCAATCACTTGGTAAAAAACTTACGCCTTCTTTCCACAGATGGTGCCTTTGTACCAGTTCCTACATGTGCTGAAGTACTTCTTGTTAGTCCCCAGGACCTGCTGCAGAGCGCACACATTGGGTCTGTAAAGAGGAGGGGGGGGGGGGGGGATAAGGTAACAAAATAAGAAAAAAATCATACAAAAAGAAAAAAGGAGAAAGGAGAAGGGTTGGGAGGATGGGCAAGTGAGGCAGGATGTGGAAGAGGGGGGAGACAAGTGAGGAAGGAAGAACGATGAGGTGATAACAGAAGAAGTGATGGATGATGAGTGAAACAGGGAGTGGTGCATACAGGTGAAGAAACACATTGTTTACACACTAAAGCTTATTCATAAGACCCCCAACTTTCACTTTGTTTGAAAAACCAACAGCTTGCATCTAGTTCTTAAAATAACTAATGGATTTCCTCAAACTTCAATTTTGGATCCCTCAAACATTTCAAACACCAAATTTGGCACACTGTTAACAGCAGGAAATGGAATGAATGTGACAGACATTATTGAACTTTCCATTATTGTTAAAGATCAATATTTTCATCGATGTTGCTGACCTGTTTTCTCAGATTAGAAAACAGTTCTCTTTTTTTTCATAGAGCATGCGAAACAAATATTATTCAAACGTAGCGCTTCACATATTTTTATGCTTGTTACTTATAACACAATTTATGTTGAGAAATGCAAACAAGAAAATCAGGAATGCGAAATTAATTACACACAAAAAAGCCAAAACTTTTACTCCAATTGTGAAACTCTATGAATGCCATCACTCCTCTCACACACCCTCTCATCCCTCTATTCCCCCCCCCCTTGTCTCCCCTCTCCTTACCCTTCCTTCCTGGCCCGTATGCGGCTGTGTGTGACTATCTTGTCGTATGCTGAAGAATCCACGCTCCTTAAAGAGCAGAGAGCCACCAGCACCAAGGTCAACACTGTCAGCTGATGCATCCTGGAGAGTTATCAGTCCTCTGTCCTGCAAGGGCCACAAACACGCACTGCTCCTGTCCTTAAAAAAACACTCACAGAAACACACACACACATACACACACGCAACCCCCCAAACAAAAAAATTACACAAGAGAAATGGGAGTGCGATGGAGAGAGGGAGCTTTTATACCAGCACACACCCGTACCCACCCACTCTCCCCCTCTTTTTTTTGACTCCCTCACAGTCTTTTCCATACCATTACATCCTTCTCTCTCACACACACACACACACACACACACACACACACACACACTCACACCCTCTCTTTTAGCCAAAATCCTCCCTCCAGCTCTGACTTCTCTCTCTCCTTCACTTTTGTTTCACACGACTTTCTTTACCACCATCCCATCCCAGAGCACCGAGGACACCCTGTTACTCAAACTTTACAATGTTCTTTACCATGTAATGACAGATTTACTATCAACTATGCATTGTCCTTATAAAGTTTATAGTCATCCTGAGAGAGGTGATACACACTTGATAATCCCATCACAGCTGCAGGATGCACAAAAAGTAAGTCAATTCACATAACAGAGTCGATCAATATACTCTTTTTAAATGAACCCCTCCATTGAGTGAATAGGGGAGTACATAAACAATGGACGGACATAGAAAAATTCAGTGAGGAGATGAAACTGGAGAATTTCCAACAAAACCGTAAGAAATAATAATAATAGAAAGGAAAAACATGAAAAAACAAGCGTATATTCACACTTCTAACCAGCAAAAAGACAAACAAGCACAGAAGTAGGTACTTGATTTGTTTAGAGCTTGTCTGTGTATCTGTGTGTGTGTGTGTGTGTGTGTGTGTGTGTGTGTGTGTGTGTGTGTGTGTGTGTGTGTGCTTACGTGTATATCTGTCATATCCCCCCGTGAACACAAACACCAGGCTGTAAGTGTTCTTCTAAATTGTGCACTTTTGGCAATAACAAATATGACATATATTGTGGTGAAAGGCATGAAAATTAGATTGTAAAATAAACCCCAAAAAGACAAATGGTGATGAATGTGTTGTGGATGATCCGTTTACACTTTCCTTGACTGAATCCTGACTGTATTTTTATCACCACTCGTCTCCTTATTACATTTACGAAGGAGATTTTTCATTCCCCACCAAGCTTTCCTCCCCTGAACTCCTGCTTTTACTCGGTCTCCTCTTTTCCCCTTCATCATCCCTGCTGTCATGTTCACCGTTCATCAGCTCCACTTTTCGTCGGTCCCGGCTCCTTTCCCTTCAGCACTCTTTGTGTTTCAAGTTGAAGCCTGATCTGATACAGCTTCAAAGAGAGAATCCAACTTTGGTAACAAGCTCCCTGGGTGTCGTCATGTGCAGTCTTGACTTGTGAGCAGTTATGTTTCTGAGCTTGAGACAAAGATGTAAGCCAGCATTCCCTTAATGTTGAATCTGACTGAAGAGCTCAACCCTACGATTTACTTCATCAATGTGAATACAGACAGGATAACCCTGAATGTTTTCTTTCTAAATGCTAATGGTAGTGTTAAGAAAAAAATCTTAGACATTCTTGTTTGACATTCTTGCTAAAAAAGATAGATAGAGCGTTTTCAGCAGTAAAAAGAAAAGTAATGTATCTGAAACCATTTGTAAAACCACTACATAGATTATCTCACTCTTTATGAACTCACATGACCTCTTTGATCACAGCGGGGACAGCAGCATGCAGCAGCCTGAAAAATCTCCAAAAGGCCTCCTCCCTTTGGAGACAACGTCCTGTCTCTGTTGCTATCTCCTGTTAAAAAAAAAACACACTAACATTTTTAAGGACTTAGGAAATACTTATTCAGTTTAGCCAGCAATTTTACATAATTTAAACCATACCAGCAAATTATTTATTCCCTTCCATGCACACACACACACACACACACACACACACACACACACACACACCCACACACACCCACCCACCCACACACACACACACGCACACACGCACACGCACGCGCACGCACACGCACTCACACACACGCTGCAGAGCCACGTTTAACCTGTTGCAATCAACAGGAAGGTGCCACAGTCCTCCCCAGGTAAACAGGTGGTTGTTTTGGACCAGAGATGAGGGGAGAGAGCAGGAACTCCATCCTATCATAACATCTCCCCCCAGTGGACAAAAATTAACAATGCAGTCATGTGTCAGTGTCTTACGAAGCTTTTTGAATATTGACAATGATACTCCCTTGCCTGCCCCTAGCTTTTACAGAATACTGACACTGATTTTATTTGGATTCAAGTTCCTCACATAAAAGCTCTAAGGTGTTACCAAGAGTTAACCCCTGCACACAGAAGTCCTTCTTTCATGTTTATATTCTTTTAAGTGTTGAATAACACAGGTCATAAATGACAGTACACCTCAGGCAAAACACAGATCTGAAAAAAAATATCAGAACAATTGACAAAAGGTATTATAACAATGATCATACTGTGTCAGCAAACTCATCTCTTGTTTGTAAGATCTTGTCTTATAAATAGAATTTGAATACTGTATAATGTGACATGTATATTCATTAAACAAAGTACACATTTTAGTCTGACCATTTTAAATCAATCACTTTCATTGTCTAATCTAAAATAGATATCTAGGTCAAGAAACTATCAGTCACTTAAAATATATTTAACTGAAACCAAAAAAATCATAGTGAGTAAATCTGTTATATGTTTGATTGTGCGGCTGTGACAGTCGGGTTCAGTGCAGTTGAAAGACCCATTTCAAAGCCAGGAGAATTCCAGCTCGGCCTTTTGATCACACTTGGAGCTCGTTTGCATCATCTGTTGAATATTTCATCTCTTCTGCACTTGCTTTGTCACTGATAGAATTCACAGGCCATTGAGCAGTGCAAATAGAAAAAAAAACAGACAGTAAACAGCTATGTAAATCGGGTGGAAACAGTCAGCTCAGCAGGCGGTGGACTGGTTATTTCAGATGTTGGTTTTCAAACAGGGTTTCTTACGACTGTTTAAACAGTAAAGAACAAAAGACTTGACTTTCTTCTTCTGAATGTTCTGACTGCATCTTCACCATTGAACATTTTCAAGGTCGAAAAAGTAGTGCATGAAAGGATAAGGAAGCAACCCTCACATTGTGAAAACAATGTTGAAGAACTCATGTCTGTTGTTGACCAGTATTGAACAAAAGCAAGAAAAGCCAAATAAGTATTTCATTTATTGTAGATTTACTGTTTTTACCTCTAAAACATTAGTCATTCAAACTAACATGACATCTAATGATAACAATTTCAAACAGCAAATTTCTTCAAAATAAAATATAATTCTTTCGTAGAATTGATAAAACATGAATAATATGTTGCCTTTAAAGGTTGTTGGGTTGAACTTCCTACTTTGTATCTCAGCATTGTCTTTCACAGTCGGCTCAATGCAAACAACATACGAGAATGTTTATCATGAATTAGTTGCCTGTTAAATGTACCATAATCCCCTTCAGAATAATAGGGACCACAATCCCAGGTTTTTGCATAGAAAAACATTGAGAGAGAGTTGTTGTTTTGTAGCTGCATGATTAGAGAAGACACACTTTGAGATACTGTAAAGCGAGTAAAGTGCAGAAACAGACAAGAGTAAGGCAGAGAGTCAGGTCTAAAACTGAACACATCTATTGCTGTATAGAGATACAAATGCAGAGAGATAAGCAGTGTAAAGATAAACAGAGGAGGAAAAGAGGTAGAGAGAGAGAGACTGATGTAGTTCAGTGAATGATGGATAACAAGGGCACATGTAGAAAAAGGAATGTATGGTGGCTGACAAGGGGCAAACATGCTGCAATGTCTGAAAAGATTCACATTAGAAACTTCTAAATCTAATGTTAACTCAATTCTGAATTTGCAGCATGTTTCTCCAAATGGAAAGATCTGTACCACTTTGCCCCTATAGGCTACCGTGGGACTGGGAGAAATAGACGATTTAAGAAGAGTAAAATGATCAGATTAGGAAAATAATGATTTTCTACCCATCTGTAAGGGTTGAGAGACGATGAAAAGACTTTATCATACAATCAAATCCTCACAATGCTAATACAGAGCTCTGATTCGCTTCACTGCATCTCCGCTGCTAATATATCAGTATTTTAAAAACACTTGAACCAAAGTCCTCCCTGAGTCTCCACAGATCAGAGCTGATCATCAGTTAGTAATAACTGGAAAAGTTAAGACTCTTTCCAAACGAACGGTGGCATCCACACTTTAAGCTCACATTGATTGTCAGTCTGTCTTTCTTTAATCCACATAAAGGCCTATTCATCCATCATCATGTATTAATCTTCCCCTCTGGACGTCTCCGACAAACATCCCTCAGCTACTGAGTCACTGCTGGGCAAACTTTCTGTGTCCTTTTCTTCTGTTTCTCTTGCCTCACCTTTATCCTCGTTATTTTCAGTACTGGCCTCATCTGCAGCATCCTTTTCTTCTTTTTCTGTCCCCAGGAGTTCCTTTTCATCTTTACCTGTTTCTTTCCTTTCAGCTTCTGAGTCCCCTGCTTCCTCTGACAAAGAGTACATGTTCCTAGGAATCTCTCCTGCACCACATTCGTCTTTACTACCACCCCCGTGGCGTTTTTGGAACAAACCAAAGTCAGTAATATCTTTGGGAAAGTTTCTCCTCTGGCTAGCCTTTTCACTGGGGCTCTCGTCTGATGCTACCGATAGGAGTCCATTGGGCAGGCCGTTGAAGGCTTCAGGGGGCCTCGGTGACGCTACAGAGCTGCAGTGTTTGAGGATGGACGCGGTCATCTTGAATCGGTTGAGTTTGCTTTTGGTCTGGCTGCTCTGAGGACTTACAGAAACCTTGAGGGAGGAGTTGGGATAAGCGAGGGCAGACTCCGCCGAGCTTCCACTCGCCTTTGCCCCCTGTAGAGCCGGCGTCCCTGTTTTCACCATGCCCATCACCTCATAACGGAAACTGGAGATATCCTGTTTCAGCTCCTGTGTGATTGAAGCAAAATGTGAACTTGACTGGTAAAATAATATCAAATAACTAATGCTGAACACTCCGCAGAGAAATTATTCATGTTTAAGTGATGCCATACTAAGAGGATATAATGTAATTCATGAAATAATAATGCAGCACTCTCTCTTTCACACAGCACTTGCCAGATTAGTCTTCTTGGATATTCTGAGAAGATCCAAATCACAGTTAGCAAGTATTTGACAATCTACTTTAACATGCCATTAGGTATTTTATCTTGCACACGGTCATTGAAATTGCTGATATGACTCAGCCTGTCACGGGTTGAGAAAACAAAAGCACAATACTTTCCCAGGACTCCTGAGGGAAACATCTAGCTCTGTAGCAGCTCAGTGTTTTGCTATGTTCAGCAGATTGTTGCTACCTTTTAATTATTTGCCTTTTTGTTGTTGCTCAGATATCTCTTACAGTGAGTTTCTTAGGTTGTTCTTTTTTTTGACACTGATGCATTGGTTCCCAACCTGGTGTCCGGGCCCCCCTAGGGGTCGCCTGAGATCTCAGGGAGGGACGCAAGGCCCTGTCATCTCTGAGGTTGTCAAAATTAGATTAGCACATATTAAATAAAAGTAATGTTAAAACATTACCGGTCAATTTAAAGAAAGGTATTTTGGTGAGAACAAGTGTGTAGGCATATTTGGATAGGATTGTATCAATGAAACTTAAAAAAACAATGTATCAAAGGTTTGTGTGTGTCCAGGGAACCAATGCACTAATATAAACTAAGATGAAGGTTAACCAAAATAGTTATGGCCCATAAAGACAAGAGAATGAGGTCTTACTACAGAGTCTTAGTGATAATTCTCTGTCACATGTTTTTTTTTTTTTTTTTTACATACATACAGTATATTGTTTATACATGCGTCATGTTGTATTCTCTCTTACCTTGAAGTTCTCTTCGGTCAGGCCTTCCTCAGTCTTGGCATCTCTGATCATTGCGGCCACGTAACGTTTCACCAAATTTCTCAGGACCTCCTGCATCAGGAGAAAAAAATAACTGCCTTTGAACAAAAATGTCATCATCCTCTCACAATGATTGAACGGGTTCCTTTTACAAAAAACTCATAATCAACCTGCCAGGTATAAGATGAGAAATATGCACCCATTTGTAGCTACATCTTTGACAAAAGACTAACATAACCACCTGCAGTTACTGACAAAGTGAAAATCTTCTACAGAGAGTAGTAATCGTGTGGGCTATATATATATATATATATATATATATATATATATATATATATATATACACACACACACACACACACACACACACACACACACACACACACACACACACACACACACACACTGCATTTACCTGATACTGGTGGTTAATCCTCAAGTTCTCTGCTGCTCGCCTCTGTGCACATATCACATGTCAGAGAGGTTGAGATAAAAAAAAGAGAAAGAGATGCATATTTAGTTTCACTTCACGGTATCGAACATTTGTATTAAACTTAGGCGTCTGTGGCTCTCAATGTCGGTGGCTGTAGGGTGTTCCAGCACAAAATAATTCATCAGATTTCTACTATATTAAAAATAAACATTCAAATCAACCTGTCAATCTTTAGAGCTGCAAAAAAACAATCTTTTCAGTTTTCAGCAGCAAATCCTGATTTTTGACATGTAGAGAATGCTTGGAAGGTTGCTCCAAATTGCAAAAACTCAAATATTTGACACATTTTTTTTGTGTTTCTAATAATTTCAGGTCTACTCTTCCTCTAAAAAACTGGCAGCCAAATCAATAGCAAATAATGTCAGTTGTAGAATTGAAACTGGATTCTGTACAGTGTCTTCAAACATAACAAACCCTCTTTTATCAATCTCTGTAAAACATATTTAAACATGTTTAAGGGTTTGAAGCCGACTTACTCCAAGAGTTCCAAAGGTTTCAGGCCGCTTGGATCTGGCCCTTTTGCACACTTGTCTCTTGATCCAACACACGAGGTACCAGAATGATTTGGGACTGGGGATGATGTTGAACGGGGCCGGCAGTGTGGCTCCTTCTTCAAAGTAACTCATCCACAGCTTTGTCCTGGCAAACTTCCACTCGATGTCTGCATGATCCTGAAACAGAGTGAAGAGAACTTGAAAAGCACTGCCAACACAAACACCAGTTTGTGCTGCATCATTTATTCCTCTGATGTTTGCTCACTGCGATGTGCTGGTAGGAGTTGTTCATCATGGCTATGAGCATGTTGAGAAGCACCACCAGGGAGATGATGTTGTAGGTGCCAAACATGGTGGCCCCAACAAACTCAGTGAACTGATGGTCTGCGTCCACGTTGGTCACATAGAGACTGATGAGACCAAAGATTGACCAGAAGAGGGACTGCAGTGTCTCAAATAATCTGCAAGACAAGTTTTCCTTAGTTTTTGGACTATTTGAGAGTTTTCATTCAATGTTTCAGCCAGTAACAGTAATATTCCAAGACTATCTTTGCCAACACATTTCTCAAAATCTAAAATCTGTTCTGTACACACACGTTTAGACTTACGTGGAGAAAGCATTATTCTGCTCCACACAGCGGATACCTTTGCATTTTCCTCTCTCATCTGAAGCTTTCGTCTCATAGTAAAAATACAGCTGGTTCAGCCCGTTAGCAAAGGCCAGCAGGACCTGGAGAAAGGATTATTTAGTTAGTTTTTCTTTCACATATCTACTGTAACTTTTGTAGAAGTGTGTTTGCTTGTTAGTATTCCTGTTTGTTTACCAGACAGTAAATGAAGAGGAACTTCAGGATGTCCAGTAGCATTCTCCCCAGAGAAATCTGCAGCGGCCCCAGATGAGAGTTGGCAGTGAAGAGCGAGATGAGGCGCAGGGAACTGAAAATGTTGGCAATTGCAAACACGGCCTCTGCCACTAATGTTGGGTGCCACATCTCCCACTGGTTCCTGGGTTTACTACCACTGTACTGAAGAGGAAAAACAGGAATAAAAGACAATGAGAGCATGTCAAAATTACACCCCACCTGCTGCTATTTATGGAAAAATTATTACCTTGGTGTAGGCTACAATCTTCAGGGAGATGGTTGCCAGGTACAGAGAATTCATGACAAAATCCATGAGGTTCCACCAATCATGGACATAGTCTTGAAATCCGCCATCCCACATCTGTTTGATTTCTGCCCAGATGAATCCTTGGGGAAAAAAAAACATTGAATTATCACCTATAATCCCCAAACCATGGACATAGAAGAAAGTTTCCCTTGAAGAACTAGAGTTATTCTAGACATCCACAGTGGTCCGAAAATAGTCTCGTATATTGTATCACAATATCAGGTGAGTAGGAGTTGGAGCACTTCTAGCTTGGATAGACATGAAACTCCCCTGACTTAGTCATCAGGACAAAAGATAAGAGATTTCTTTAGAAAAAAAAAAGTTTTTTCATTGAACAGATAAAGGCTCTTCAGCTCTTGAAGTTATATGTAGGCACCGTGGTGCTATGTTAACATGCTAACAGAGGCAATGCTAACCTTCTATTTGAAAGTTTACCATTGTAACAGTTGTGCTATTTACTGCAGAACAGTGTTAGAACTGAATATTACATGTTCCTGCAGGTATTTGGTTATTAACCAGCTGATTTTGAGCAGTATTGAAAACTCTGTGAATTACCGAAGTTATAATTATTTATTCTGATGTGTAAATGTTGTTTTTATCCTTTCACAATATTCATGAGAGGCCAATTTCCCAAACTTCATGCATAGTGTGGGAAGCTCAAATTCTCGACCAAACCTGGTTGTCTGACTGACTAAACGATAAACTGATAATATCTCTAAAATCCCTTTGCTAGTATGCATAAACATGAGCAGAGTAACCAACAAGAAAAAACTCTTGAGTACTTTCACAACCTTAAATTAGATTAATCTCGAATCAATTTAGACTAAATTCAGCAACTATGACCAGAGAGATCTACAGTGACAAAAGAATTGAACAAACATGATTTTTCAGGAATTAAGTAACTGACTACTCAGAACCTTAAAACATGATTATGTTACGAATTTCAACATCTATTCCCATTTCACCCATGTTTTATTGCCATGTGGTAATTTGGTTACATTTGGATAACTATCCTGAACTACAAACCCTCAGTCTTCACCCATTTTACTCACCCAGCACCCAGGGCAGGATCATCCACTCCACTGTTGTGGGTGCAGGGCCCTGCCTGTCCTGCTCTGTGGTGACGATGTGCTGGGAGGCGAGGAGCAGCAGGAACAGAAAAGTCAGGTAAGATGACGTGTGGCAGATGAATTTGATGAAGGGCTTGCCGATGAAGAGGCCGTAGCGACTCTTGGGAGCGATGAGGTAGCAGATAGCAAACATGGGGTACAGAAGACCGATGAAGACGCAGGTGAGGAACTTTCCTGCCCAGTGGCGGCGTCTCCAGCCGGGGAACTCGTCATACCAACGGGACGCCAAAAGCTGCTGGCAGTTTGGCTGAGCAACAAACTTTAAAGAAAAAAAAGATAGAATAGAATTATAATTAGAACAAGTTATATTTGTCATATTTTCTGACCTACAGCGATAAAATGGCTTTAAAAAAAATGATATCATATAGAATCATGACCTTAAGAATCAAAATCAAATTGAATTGTGAGCTTCTTTCCAATACCCAGCCCTAGTCCAGACCATGCAAACTTCAGAGTACAGGTGTTGCGGGTGTTTGGGTAACCATCAGTGGATATTTTAAAAGGAGATCAATCAATAATAGTATAGAACTATAGCAACAATGCATAAAATAATGGTTAAAATCCATCCATCCATTTCCATTCCCCCTGATTAGGGTTGCAAGGGGGGGACTGGAGCCAATCCTAGCAGTCATTAGGTGAGAGTCAGGGTACACTCCTGACAGGTCAACAGTATACCACTGGGCTGACAAGAAGAAATTGATACTCAGGCAATTTTTAGAGCCAACTGACAAACCCGATGAGCATATCTTTGCATCTTTGGACTGTTCGTGAGAACCCACACAGACATGGATGGTGCCTGAAAACTCAACACAGAGATGCCAACACCAGGAATTGAAGCTTCTTGCTGTGAGGTGACAGTGCTGTCTGTCATGCCAACCTAATAATAGTGATAATAACTATAAAGATCATATGAGCAATAGTAGTAAATGACGCAGTTAGAGTCAAGCAGGTCCCCCAGCAGTCTAAACCAATAGCAGCACAACTAGGGGCGGCTCCCAGCCTCAGTCCGGACTATAAGCTTCTATCAAATTAGAAAGTTTTAAACCTAAAGTCTAAAACTAGAGATAGTGTCTGAAGAGAGGGGCCTGATAACTGAAGGCGCTACCTCCCAGATTACTTTTAGAGTCCTTTGGTACCACAAAAAAGGCTGCATCCTGCAGGCATAGTGTTGAAGAGGGGTGACATGGCACTATGAGCTCTTTGTGAATTGATGGTGCTTGACTATTGAGAGCTTCATAAGTGAGGAGAGTGATTTTAAGGTTTTATGTTGCAAAAGGAGGTCATGAGAAGTCTCCCTTGACTCAGCAGGTCAAGATTGTGACTTAAAATGACTGAATAACATGTTTTTTGATTTTCCAAGAATAATAAAGAAGTCCATCCATAGATGTCAGGACTAATTTAACTTAATCTAAAGCAGACATTATTTTATGTCTCTCCCCACAACACTAATTACTGAAAATGTTTTGAAGATGAATCATCATGTGGGAAATGTATTGTCTTCTTTTCTGTTGTACGGCAGGTTTGATGTTTTGTGTTTCTGTCAGATTATTGCCTTATGTGATTGCAAAATGTTAAAGAACAACAAAGGAAATTTTGACTAAGCTATTGTCATGCTCCTCTGGGTAACTGAGTGCAGGTTTACCATCAGTGAGGCCAAAAGTCACTGTTTCAAAACTACAGATGTGCTTTGGTCTGCCTCAGCCAAATAGACTGAAGCATCAGCAGCATCTGGGGAAAATCTGCAGATATCTGGGAAACAAACTCATGTTGTATTATTGTTGTATGAGTCAGCAGCATGCACAAAATTCAATGAAAAAACACACAAGCACACACAATGTTGTGAAATATGTTACAGTAAGCTTATACATCACAGTCAAATCTTGGACCAGTAATGTTAGGTGCCAATTCACCAACTCTGCAGCCTTGTTACTATGGGAACTAGAGAAACCTATCTGTGTTGGGGTCTGGAGTTGAATGCCTCATATTTCCATTCTATAACTACAGCATTGCAACAAAACTTCAGAGCAAATGCAAAGAGGGAATAAAGGAGGAAATTAAGTTCATGGATGATTGGAAAAAAGAGCAATCCTTTTTTTTGAATGAGGCAAAGAAAGAGAGAAAGAGAGAGAGAGAGAGACAGAGAGATACAAAGAGATACAGAGAGAAATACAGTGAGAGTGAGAGAGCGCATTAAGATAATGATAAATTATCACTTAAACAGCTTCCACTATTGTGTACCAAAACAAAAAAAAACATGCATATGTTCTTTTTTAATGACTCATTTGAGCATTAACATCATTACAGCAAATAAATCCTGAGTCTTAAGGCAACCCATGGCTGCAGGCTACGTATTGTCTAAGAACAGCATAGAGGGAAAAAATAGCCATTTTTTATTATCATTGTGCAACACCATATAAATGTATGAAGCCTTTGAGCACTTGCAGGTGTCTGTACTTTTAGATGAGTGATCCATCATTAACACATTTTAGCTTGCATCATTGCAACACATGATTTATTATAGCAAACAAAAAAAATTTAAGCTGCCTTAATCCGCATGGAATATTAAGCACTGACGGCGATGACAATGAGTTTATTAATATTATAATTAGGCGATTCACAAGAGCTATAATAGTAATTGAATAACCCTAATAACATAAGGTACTTTATAAGGAGCATTTTAAACAATAATGAAAAGATTAAGCTGTTTAAACAAGATTTTTAGTGGATGAAAACAAACAAAGTCAGTCTACTGGGTTAGGCACCCTTCAACCGTCTGTCACAGTATGTCCAAAACTTAACTTCAATAAAGTGTCATATTTAAATTTCCCTAGTCTGAAGTACAGTTTGGAAACTTTTTCCTTCATCTCGCCGCATTAAACTGTCAAAAAATACCAACACAGAGCTTCTCAGTATGTGTGAGGACCAGTGTGGCAGCTTTCTCGCTCTGATAAAACAGGTTTCCCTGCAGCATTGACAACATGAAAGCTCCACTCCACTCAAACTCACACAGACTGACAAGGGCACAACGTACAGCTGGTGACGTTTGAAACAACTTCTGCATTCTTTTTAACAGTATATTTGGTTGCTTTGAAGTCTATTGTTTTTTTTAAACCAAACATTGGTTATTTCAGATATTTTTCAGTGGAGGATAAAACCCATTTTCACAAAGTTGAAAGTAATCCTGCTACTTAATGTTATTTTATCCAATGTAATTACCGTTTAAATAAAGAAAAGCTGTATGCTAGTTTTCTTCAAGTGTATGAATATTGTGATTGATGGTGGAATTGGTTGCAATGCAAGGGGCACCAGAAATCTTGCCTAGTGCACCAAGTGAGCTAAGCCAATAAGGATACATGCAGCATCGCTGAAGTTTATAGTTGCAATCTTCCAACTCTTTATAGTGTACAGGAAAAAAAATAGTTTTCTCTCCAATAATAACAGAGCTTTGATGGACTCTACATAACACTGCTAAAATACCACAAAAATGAATAAATGAACTGAAAATTGGCGCTTTCAGAACATTTTATAGTGATATAAAATACTATACTATACTTTTACACCTGTGACATAAACTGAGCACTACAATAACTTTTAGAAAACAAAACAACATCCTTTTGACAACACTGTGATAGAATGAATGCATTTAGATTACAAGAGAAAAAAAAGAGGAAAAAAAAGAGAATATTTCACCTGTACTGAGTGTCACTGTTTTAGGAACGAACAGTTACAAGCCTGAATGTGTATAGCTTCTCTGCGCTAATGGGCCTTTACCACATAGCAGCTATTCCTGTTGCAATTTTACAACCATTCAATGGAGACACTATAAAACATTTTGAAACATTGAATTGCAGTTTTTATGGGACATCACAAGGGGGCAACATCTAACTACAGCAGAAAAAAAAGCGATACCTTTTCTCAAGCGCCTGCGAGAATTTCCAATGTTTAAGAATCTGTTTTAGTTCACACTGATCTAAAATGAGCGCAGCTAACCTACCCTTTTTAAAGGTATTTCAATGTGAATGAGACTAATCTAGAGTGAAAACCCTCAGGGAGATAACGGGGTAATCTGCTTTTTAATGCACATGTGTTACTGATCACATTTATCTGATTGGGCCTCCTGCTGCATCAAAGCGCAGCCTGTTCTGTTAGCGCCGCTCTCCAGACAGAAAGCCTGTGGAGATTTCTCTTCAGACCATTATAAATTGGCTTTCTAAACCCCGGGAGCACATCAGCAGCACAGCTGAAAAACACACAAAGATGCAAGGATAAATACAAAAATGTACACAACACAACAAATATAGGGGGCTAAGAGGAGAACTATCATTCTGTGTGTTGAGTTGAAGGTCAAAACATGCTCGTCATGACTCACTGCATCTCTCATAAACAGCCAGAACTATAAAAGCGAAAAAAAAAAAAGAAAATCACACATTCAGGTTGAATGTCATGCCAATTATAAGAGCCTGAGTGTTTGTCTGCTAAATTGCTGAAAAAAGACAAGTGGTGATCACACCACAGACAAAATGCTCTGAAATAATAGCAGCTTCCTATACAGGAACATCAAACAATCCTTTCCAGTCCAGCTGAGGGTCCACTTGACCCCCGATGCCTCGTAGGGAGCGAAGCCCTGTCTGGCTTAAAGATCTTCTGTCACAAGCACAAAGCAATCACAGTAAATGCCCCTGTATATGTGTGTACTTTCAAAGTGTGTGCGTACATTTGTTCCGTACAGATATCATTTTTCCAGCAGCAGGAATCTTTATGGCAGGTTCTGCCGGGAGTTGAGTAATTTCTACTTCTACTCTTGTTAAAGAAGCAATTCTATGTTCAAAAACGTGTAATGCTTTAATGCGTCACACACTTTAAGTGCCCTCTCTCAAAAGGATCAAATAGTTTACAAAAGAATGTCCGACAAATCTCAGAAAAAGCCAATGCTTTTTGGCAGAGTACTCCTCGACAAAGGAAAGGAATATTGGTTAAAGTGGATGAATTTATGTAAAAAAAAAAAACAATGTTTTGGATAGCTTGTTTCCTAGATGTATTCTCTTTGTATGCTTTCAGGGCATTGTAGCAGCATCAAATTGTACAACAAAAAAATGGTAAATGGGCTTGAGCTTGTAAAGCGCTTTTCTAGTCTTCTGACTACTAAAAGCACTTTGACACCGCACACCTATCTATTCAGACCCATTCACACACTGAAGGCATAAGTTTCTATGTAAAGTGACCATCAGAAGTAACTAATCCCATTCATAGCCAAGTGTTATGAATTCAATGAGCCACAGCTGTAAGGAAAAGTTATACCTGTCTAACAGAAAATCTGACAGAATATCTCCCAATGCAGAAATGTATCATTTCGGAACAGAAAACAATTTACTTTAGGATTGAAACAAGACTGAATCAGGAGAATTAAGGTGAATTCAGCTCAATTTGTAGAAGACTGCATTTGGAAAAACATTATTCTACCATCTGAAATACTTATCTAACTAAACAGACAACATTTCTCATTCATAGGAAGGTTTCTTTTTTTAACATCAAATTAATTCTGTACTCTATCATAGTTTCTCACAGCGGACCCATACACCCTTGCTTTATTACAAACCATCAGAGAATGAGCGTTTGCAGCAGAATAATTTTAACCTGAGATCAATGCAAAACTGTCTGGGTAGCAGGAACATTTATCATTTGAAAAGGGCAGCTGGGTGGATTGTTAACCACATCATAAGACATCGTCCTCCATCAAACCTGCAGTGCAATCGAAGGCTGTCATTGATAATGTGCAGAGGACGGCCATACTGGAACATAACTGTGTAATTAAAACACTCCTGGGAGAGGAGATACATGGTGGAGCCGTCAGGTCAGAAACCAGGAGAAGATTTTGGTGTACACTGTGTGGGATGACAGATCTACTGCCAGAGACAGAGGAGACAGGGGAATGCCCATCATCATGTCCAGCTGTATACTTGCACTACTCCCAATTGCCCTTTTTGTGACTCAACATGTTTGTCTGCCAACCTGTGCCTTGATTACTAAACAACTGAATGGATGATGTCGGGAACAACGGCTCTCAAAGTGCACCTGCTTTGACAACTGTGAAGAGCCCCCAGCAGAGACAGATGATTTAATTATGAGACTCTCCATGGATTAATGTGTCTGCTTCCACATCAATTTGCCTCACCTTTATACTCAACAGAACAACTATGTTGTGTAATACCAATAAATCCCGTTACATGTAGCCTAAGAAAGCCTTCAGGGCTAAACTTAACAACGATAAACCAAGCCTCCTGTTTCTCCCATTACATCCAGACGGTCAAAACGCAGGCATCAGTCCTAACTGTTTTGTCTTCATTAAAACAACACGCTTTAAACATTCTCGAAGCATTCCGTTAAATAATTGTCAAGTGAATCTGACTTTAAGTAATACCAAAAGAGAATGTCAAATAATTATCTTAATCCCCAATCACATTTCTCAGTTCTTAAACAAGATATAAGAGGGCTGTATCAATCTTTGTTTGTCAACTAAATTATAATGCCAGATATTTAAAGGATGCCTTCATTACCAACCTTTTTTTAAATCATTGAATAATATACACATTCTACATGATATTGAAGACAAATAGAGAGCAGGTGTGTTTCTATGATGAAATTGTCTCTTTTGGGAAGTAATCATTGTGACAGCAACAGTTACGTCTAAGATGGAATCACGTTGCAGCTGCGAGCCTTTAGTTATAGAATTCAAGCTCGCCTATCCATCATCTGAGTGAGATTCCCAAAAGGGCCAACAGATAAAACCGTGCCAAAATAAGCATCTGGAGCCATCAAAGAAGAACCTGAGGCTAATCTTACATCATTACACCAGTTTATTCTGACTGGCAGCTACATCTGCGAGATGAATTGGCATTGTGTAGCAAAAACTCATCGGATTGGAAGCCCTCCAAAAAAACATACACAGTGAATGTTTGCCTGTGGTATATGGGAATAAAATCTAACAATTTGAAACACACTACAGTATGAATAAAAGTAAACAGGAGGATAAAATACAAATGCAACAGACACAATGTGATTTCTGACTATTTAAAAGGCCAATACTCTGACTTCTTTCTCTATCTTGGTTTGTCCTTCAAATACAGTTGTTTCTTATTGTGATACATTTGTGAGTATCAAACTAACTAAGGTTATTAAACTACTGCCGTATGTCAGCCCCACTGACTTAATTTTACCCAATTTTACCATGTAATCCTTGTCTTAAGCTATGGATGACAGAACATGATGCTCACCTCTTTCTGGTGGTACTTAATAGCCAGTTTGAGTCTTGCCAGGTCATTGTTGCCCTCCTCCTCCAATAAGTTGATGTCATCCCTGTAGTTGAGGATCATCTCCAGCTCTCTGGAGCTTCTCGTCTGGTCCAGAAGGTCCTTGGCAAACTGTTTACACTGCTGGGATAGCTCCTCGTACTCGGATTTGAACTCGTTCTCCACCTGAAAAAGAACACAGATATCACTTAGCATCTCAAGTCTGACAAGAGGAGTGCAGATAAGATCTAAAGTAACCATTTGAAGTAAAATATTAAAGTACAGGTGTGCAAAGTGGTGATTCAAAACCAAACCTTACCTCTAAGTATTTTGTGTCATGAAGCTGTTTCAAATGCTTTCCATTTTATATTCTGTGGTTGTTTTAAGTTTACAGATGATTAAATAAGTATAAAATGCTTTAAAAAACTGCATTTAATGAGTAACAATAAACATCAAAATCACAGAGATGTACAGTTTGCAAAGTAAGTGCAAACATGAGTTCTGAAATATTCATATTACATTTGAGAGGATCTGACATGATCTCATTTAAACTTTGCTTTAGAGCTTTACTAAAACATTTGAAGGTAATCGCAGACCACAGCATGCATGGATTCTGTTCTCATAATTATTCTGTGAATTTTCTATATGTATTTTTCTCTATAATATCAACTGACATTTACCTTGACCAATTATTTTTCCACTCGGCTAATCAATTGACAGGGGATTCAATGTAACAGGACTGTATCATGAAAGGGCACATACAGGTTAATCAATGCAGAATACAGCCAAAGTTTCACTTTTTTTCTAAAAATCCTATGAAATGATGTTTCTGCTTTACTGGTTGCTGTCTCTCTCTCTCTCTCTCTCTTTCCTCACCTTGCTGAGCTCCTGCAGCTCCCAGCTGAGCCTGAACGCGGTAAGGAAAGGGTCCTCACTGGAGAGCGCGATCAGTGAGGGACTCGACAGCGCTTTGTAGATATTGAGGCGTGAGCGAGAGTGCCGCAGGCTGTCCACATCTGAACTGGACACACACTCCACACAGTTACAGCGCACCTGCAGCATCAAACAGAGCACGGGCATATTTTCATGAGCCTTTATTATGTGATCATGTTGTGATCCAGCAACAGAAGTAAATAATCTTATATGTGAAGCTGTTAAAGGGACAATAAATACTTTGTTGACCTCATACAGTATGAAAAATATTTATATTCTTTATGAAAATGTTCAATCTGCAGAAAAAAAGAGCTGTTCCTCAGCTAATCCTAACCTTAAAAAACACGCATCCTACAAATGTTGCTCATATTAAAAACCCTTTCACATTAACAGAAAACTTCATTAACTTAGATTTAACTGCTTTTTCTCCTGACTGAATCTTTTAATAAGAATATGTCAAATTCTGTGATATTTACTGTGTTCTGAGTAAATACCGTCATCAAAATACATGTATTTGCTGAATTAAAAAGTTGCCTTCAGTATCATCTGAATGTATTCTCTTGACTTATTTATCAATTTCATATCCATTAAAAAAGACTTCAACCAAGCTGCAATACAGACTTTTGTTTTTTGACATTTAGGAGAAAAAAGGGTTTGGGTTTCTTCTAATAGCTGATATCAACTGCAATACAGTTCACACCACAACAGAAATACGTAATGTGTTCTCACCTCATGTGGCTGTGGCATAGACACGCCTTTCTGCACCAGGAGCTTGATGATTTCATAGTTGTTGGTATGTGCGGCGAGGATGATGGGAGTGATGTCAGGGGTAAAGTCGGAAAACTGCTTGTCCAATAAGATGGGAGGAACCTTTGACGGGAGAGTAGAGGGGAAAAAAACGCTTGAATGACACATATTTTATTTTATAAGCTCTCCAAGCAACACATTAGACATTTGACTTTATGTGATCGATTAATTATTTGGCCTTAGGGTCCTTATTCTCTGTGAAGTTTAAAAGACAGGCTCAGTGTTCAAAATAATTTATTGGTGTGATTAAACACAGCGCAAAGATTGACAGATTACATTTAAACTCAGTGTCCTGTTCCATTGAATGATGTAAGATTGAGAAAAACAAGAAATCAACTTTTGAATCCATTTTCAGCTGCAAAGAAAACTCTTCAAATACCAGCGAGGAACTTTGTCCTTGGTCCGAGTTGCAAACATCACGCCATACATATCGATCCTTCTGGACAAGGTCAAGCAATTTAAAAGAATCAGTATTTCACAGGTGTCAGGGAGAATCTTTATGCTCTGAATAATTCTCATTCCACCTATCCCTCTTATCACCCACTCCGGCTACGCCCTATGCTGTTCCCTGTCCATTCAGTGGAAATACATGGCTGCAGGCTGCAGAGGAAAGAGGCAGCCCCTTTTTTGCTTCTTCTTAATTGAAGGCCTGTTATCTGATTATGTAGTGGAGTGAGGAAAGTAGAGTCAGAAAATAACTCAGAAAAAAGCATGTGATGAGTTTGAACCTATTTAGAAACATGCAGCAGAAAGAGCAAAGGTTGGAGGCCACTTTAGTTTTAGAAAGAGGGCTGTACAAAGTCTAAAAGAGATAGGAGCGTAAAAAAAAAGACTCAGCCCTCTCTCTTTTACTGTCACTGGACGAATGGAAGGAAAAGAGATTTGAGGTGGAACAGATGTATGCCAAGTGTATGCCATCTTGTCAGATTGACCAAATTTGAACATAAAATGACATTAATAGTCTCATGAATTGGACTTGAGCCTATACGTGCGCTGCTAATCTACAAGGCTAAGCGAGGCAAATACCATACTTTGTTGTTTTGTTTTTGCTATATCAAATTCTGTTAGTAAAATGCTACAGATGAAAGAGGGGGTTTATTTCTATTGATGTAATGCTACTTGGGTCTATCTCAATAAAGGAATGCACAGCTGTTTAGTTTTCTGTATCTCTTCAGTCTTTTGCATTTTTAATTTCACTTCACAAAACAAACGTGAGTTTATGACTGTCTTTCAGGAGAAATACAAATTGCTTAATTGCTTCTGAAAACCCTTTCTACACACAGCAGGGGAATGTGAGAAACTTGTGCCTGCTCTTCTTTTCAAATTGGATTCAATATATTTATATGCACACTTTTCCAGGTAAATAGGATATTAGTCATTTGTAATGTATTTATAAATAGGTATTCCATTCAAATATGCATTGTTAAAATGTACAGGGATGCTAAAAATGCTGATGTGTAGCAGGTATCATGCTGTTCACCTTCTATGTTTAGTCAAGGGAAAGTCAGGGAATAACCAAAGTCATTGATATTCAACTTCTGGGTACCATAAATATCTGAACAATAGCCTCAATAACCTGACCTATTCATGTCCCATTCTGGTATGTAAATGTTGAGGAGTTTCACTGTGATGGAAAGGCTGATCAACCAATCAGTGTGGATTACATTCCAATCCACACTGGTTTGGAGGTGTCTGCAATGTTTCAGCAATGTTTAAAACTTACATAGTCATCCATGTTGATTTCAGAAAAATGACTTAAAGATAAAAGATAAAAGATGTGAACGCAAGAAGCACAAATTGTGTACTGTGCTGCGTATGAGGGAACACAAAAGCAATATCAGTTAAACTCTGTTATATCACTCCTTTATACGAAAAAAATGGGACCATTTTTTTTTCTGAAATATTGCATCATCCATATTACGCTATAAAGTAATTTTGCCATGTAGTTACTGACTACTCAGAAGGCAGCGTGCAGCGAAAACTCCAAAAGTGGCACAGAGCAATGTGTGAGAGTCATCATATTTTACAGAGTGGGATGATCTAATAAGCTCTATACTCTGTTCCCCACGTGGGTGGGGGAGGGACATGAAATAATCTACAACAAACAAGCTTGGTCTATGCCCAAGCACGGAGCAGTGTTTCTGCCCCACTTGTCTGTGTAATACATGTTTGCGACCACGATAGGAGTGAAGTACTCACCGTCACAATTCTTAATAAAAGTGTAACATCATTACAATGTGCTGTGGTTTTTAATTTACTTTTTAAGCCCTCTTGTTGGTTTCCACCTTGGATTCCACAACATCACAAATGAGTGACCATTGGGCCACTTTATTCTTAATGAGAGTGTGGAAAATAAGCGTGATTTTCTGTGGTTATGCTCTCTTTGCATCCTGCTTAATGTTAAATTTAGGAAATAGAGTGATTCCTTCGATTGCTGTCCTTGTGTACTCATAAGCAGATATGCGGCTGGCACTGAAGCCATAAAGCCACGACAAAAAAAATGGATAATGAAAAAAAAGAATAAAAAATACAAAAGGAAAACAAAAACGAGAGGTGCCCGAAGGCCCTTTTAATTAAGAAACACTATGAGCTCCAGTGTTTGTGCCTCTGACAGAGGCGTATCTGTACTGAGAGGATAAATCACAAAGCTGTTTGAAACAGATGTGTGCCTCAGCAGGAAAACAAATAAAATAACACTTGAAAGAGTATTACAAACACATCATTCATAAAGCTGGCAAAGTAAGAAGACAAATGCAAACAGTTCCCATAAACCATTAAAATGAACCTCCTTATTAATACATTGCATATAAGACAGGCAACAAATAGGATGCTCTTTGTTATCGTAAAGCCTTTTAATATAATCAATGAGCCCCTCTTGGGGAAATTTGGAAGTGCTAGAGTGATCTGTTTTCATAAACTACTGATGTGAGGAAAAGAAGCACTATCTTATAAAGGAGTAAAAAAATGACAAAATTTGGCAGCTTCTAGGTGTCACAGCTGAGGGGAAGTTTGCCCTCGGTTTCATGGCCCTTTATTGATTGAAAAAAAACATGCTTAAATAACAAGTCTTGTGTCCTCCCTCTCCCTTCTTTACTGTGTTCTTACTTTACTTTTTTGAATACCCCCTTTTTATTGATCTACTTAACACTGATTTATTAAAGCCAATTGAACAGACTCCAATAGGACATGACAGGAATGGAACGGACTAGAGCATGTGAGCATGTGAAGAATATATTTGTGTGTTCTGGGTAAATTCAGTATACTGTATGTGTGTGTGGAACAAGTAAAATAAAATGTTCCTTGAGTGCAGAAGCATGCCAGTCTGACCATAATTACACAGTATTTGTTTTGATTGCAGCGAATAAACAAGAGGTTCTTATCACCGAAAACAAGAAGATTGTTTAGGAACGGCAGGTTGGAGTTCTCATGCTCATCTGAATCCCCAAGCTAACACACACACACACACACACACACACACACAAACAAAACATCTGATATGAATACATTCTAAATTTGGACAAATCTTCTTCATATTTCCCCTCAAAGAGCTTACTCAGTCAATCTTTCTGTAAAACCTGTTTCTTTTCCAAAATACAGGGAAGCGGCTTATGAAGACAGCTTTTTGAAGTGTCAGCTTTTGCAGTTGCCAACAATACATGGTCAATTATTTTAGACAGAATAAAAGCCTCCAGGCAGCTGTATAAACCTTTGAAGCTACACATGAATAACAGTATTCAAATGGCTGACACGGCACTGTAGCACTTATAGTATAGTGATATAGATATAGTAATATCCAAAATCCCTACTGTGATCTGACATGTGGGCCACTTTGCTATCTTGTTTTTTAGAGACAATTTGGCCATATTGATCAGCAATCTTTGGTTTAAGACAGCGCTGGAATGTGAGGAATCATTGTCAGTCATTAAGTCTCCTGCTCACCTGCATGCCCCCACTGGGCTTCTTGTGATTTAGCAGCAGCTCCACAGCTCCCACCACTTCTTTGCGGATTGCGTGCAGCAGAGCATCACCAACATAGACATTGAAGCTCAGTAAGAGTTCAATAATTTCCAGGTTCTCGTTCTCGATGGCAATGAGCAAAGCTGTGCGGCCGAGGGGGTCGATGCAGTTGATGTTGATCTTGAAATAGATCTCTGCCTCCTGAAAAATTGTGATCGAAAAGTCAGCGTTTGTTTCAAGTGCGACTGCGTGACTTGGTTTAAAATAAAATTGATTGGACAGGGAAAATACATAGTGAAACAGGCTACATAGTCAGTTCTAAGAGGAAATGAAAACTTCACTTCTGACAGCACTGAAAGTCAATGCTAAATTGTAGTAGTACTCTGTAGTAGTTTATTTTGAAATACATTGCCAAACATTTGACAACAAAAACTCTGGAAGCCGTGGGCAACTTTTTTTGGTGCTTTTTGATGGGTTGAGAGGCAACATCTAAGAGCAGATGTTACCACTTGGATGCAGATACAAATTCATGTAATAAAGCTTAATGGTCTTAACATGACCACCAATCCTTCCAGGATATTATTAAAGCTGAGTATGCTCTCTTTTATTCTTTTTACAGACTGCTGTCACGCGTACGGCCAATGCTAAAACAAAACTTTAAGGAAGGATAATACTCTTACTTTTTAATCAGAATCTATAGAATTTGTGGAAGAGTAGCTTTGGTAGACATGTTTGACATTATTTGTCAGGCAGCAACAATTGCTGTCATGAAAATGTGCAGCAAAATACAACAGTAGGGCTTAAAGAGTGAGATTTGTTCTCGGTTCAATAATTCACAAGAGTCCTTCTTGCTTTCCTGCACTGTACTGTTTACGGCGTAGCTATGTGATAAGCCCTATGTTTGTGTGTGTGTTATTTCATGCTTGGCATCCGAGATACTATGAAACTACAGAGCAGCTGGTCCATAGCAATATTTTGTGTCTACTCGAGGTCTGACACTATGTCAGGTTGAAATAAGGCCACAGATGTCATTGGAAAGAAGACAGCCATCACAGCTGCAGATGTTACTCATAAATCTTCTGATCATTTTTAATTCATGTAATTACAGAGTATAGAGTTTTATTATCCACCCTATAGTTTCAGTGGCTGTATTCACTAATCTGTTTACCGAACCCATCGATCCATAATGCCATGCATTTACAAAGACACACCTCCAAAGCCTGTTTGACACTAGCATAGTCCCCCTTCTCCACAGCTCCGAGATAAGCTTTTTCCAAAGGCGACAGCTCCGATTCAGCTCGCACAATTCTCAGCGGGATGCGGTCCCGGTAAGAGGAGCTGTCAGTCCGCCGGTAGTAGAGTTGTGACATCTCCCCGGGCTTCAGCTTACCAGCACCCTTAACACGGCTACAACTGCTGCCAGGCTGAGGGAGTTCACACTAGAAGGGACAGGGATAAAGGTGTGATAGAAAGAAGACACTTGACATTGACATTTTCACAAGTAAGAAAACTGGAAAGAGAGGAAGGACAAGGACAGAGGTGAGATAATAATGCAGAAAGAGAGGAAAGAAACAGGTCGATAACCCTTGTCCATTCAAAAATGAACTTTCTATCCAAGCTCTACCTAAAGTTAAGTAATTCAGTGTCAAATAAATAAACAGGAGGGAAGAGAGTCTGCATTAACAAAGACTCTCAAACATGTTCAAAGACATTAGTCTACTAAAACTGTAATGTAGACATTTATTTGGCTCTTTTTTCAGTGAGTGGATTCTAGTGATTTTGGAGAGACATACTCTTTTCCAACGGCCTCACATAATTGTTGCATAGTTTTACGCTGACCTATCAGGTAAATCTGACATGAATGAGAATCAGAGACAAATAGCTGACAGTGGCAGCTCTACCTGTTTCACAACACATCATTTTATACACATACTGTACATATCCGGCTCCGGCTATTGAGTGAAGGATGATACAATTATGAGTTACTATTAGCTTGAAATAGTCATGAACCATATTTGCTAAATGACAGGCAGCAGATGGCTAATAAGGTTGCTCTGTGACAGTAAAGTGACACCTCCAGCTCTTTTGGATGTGATGCTTCCCAGAAACAAAACTTCACAAGGGCACAGTGACTCTGCAGAGTAATTCTCTCTCTGATAAGGGGATGTTCTAGATCTCTTGTTTCACTTGAACCTGCTAGTGGTGAGGTCTACCAACTCCTTGCCATACCGAATTACTAAGCACAAGTAGAACAAGAATAACAAGTGTTCCCCATCACAGAAAACGTAACCTTGTAATTTCTGTCACTTTCTTCAAGGACTTCCTCAGACTGTAACCACATTCATGCCAGTATAAGCACTATTGATAAATTAAAGACATTCACAAAAAGTGAATGTAAACACAAGGGATTGGCTGACTGGCAGTTCTCTAATGATCTTCTGAAGCTTTTCATCCACAGCGCCCTGTGAAAAAGGGTGCAGCACAATCCTTGACACACTCTACAAAGGAGAAAATGTTAATAAAAGAAACCAACAAGTAGCTTGTGTTATGCCCTCTCTCTAAATGACAACTGAACATCTCTATTCAATATTAATGACTGGATTAACAGTAACACAGTAGCCTTATTGTTCTAAGACCAAAAATAAAAACAGCTTATCCTTTTATTTAAAAAACTGTAGTGTTGTTGTAGTGCTGCAGTGTGTTAGCTACTTAACACAAATTTTTGCCCTATCCAACGGAAAGAAGCTCCACCTCAAACAAACTATTTGACATATACTGATGTTTAAGATTTAATAAATTCATCTGAAAACTGCAAAAATAGTATGTGTGCTTTGCTCTTTCTTGGCATTAACAGTGACACCCTGTTACCACTGGTAGCCTAGTAACCTCACAGCGACTACAAATGTGCAATCAATAATTTAATTTTCAGGTTTTAATGTCCTAACAACTTGACGTGCCCTAGAGGCAGTAATTTGAGAAGGCTGACTGGCAAATCTACAACAGAAAGTGGTCAAAATTAAAGCTACACTGTTGGCTGCTGTTCCTAAGCAACATTTCTGTTACATTTTGTCATCTTTCATTTGCGCTTACAGCAAAGTTGCCACTTGCTGCTCTCTAATGACATATTATTTCCCCCCATGAAAGAAAAGAACTTCAGAAAACGGTAAAAAGAAAGATTTTGCTCCACTGAGAACTCTGTGAACTCCAGGGCTCCTCTGGCAGCACATTTTCACACCTCATTTGAGACCCTGCGGTGTTAGTTTGATATTGCTATGGTCTTTTGCTGAACAGCTTCAATTTGAAACAAAATGCTTATGAACTGGCCACATGGGCACCCTGCAGTCACTGCTGCTGAATAACTCCAGCCTCAGAGTAAAACTCAGATACTGTGCAGAGAAAGTGTTACTACAGTACGACAGATCATGGTGCCAAAAGAGGAGCTAATTTCAACACTTGTTATAAAGAAATATTGATTTATAGTAAATATTAAATTCTCCTCAAAGTTGGTCTGACAACAACTATTCCACTGAGGAGTATAAAAGCTTTGGGTTATGTTCTTGTCTCTGATATAAGGTGAGCTCGCATAGGCTATACTCAACTACTTCACTCTATATCAACGATCGTGTTTTTTACTATATTTTGCTTGAATGCTGCCTTCTGTTGATGTGTTTTTGTCATTAAAAAAGACACTTGACGAATCAATTTGGAAATTTCAGTAGCCACAACATTTTTGTGGAAGGTCTGCTGACTTCTGTGAACTGATTTGAAACACAGACACACTTCTGTTCAGAGAGGGAGTAATTACAGTTTACTGGACTCCGTATATGATCACATTTGAGCTCTTACAAAAAGGTTAGCACCATGGTGCAGGGGTAAGACATATGTTGAGCCAAACGTTTTTATATTCTGAGAGTTTAATTGATCAGACAGCACACTCGGCATAGAGGTGCTCTCCAGCAGACCACGCAGCCCATTTAGAGAATCCTGTGTTTGCAATGACAATAACACATTAATTAAAATGTCAGCGCACACTAATTCACGACAACAGCTCTGCATGTGGCATTTGGTTTAAATGGCGCATGTAAACACTCACAGGTGAGATTTTGACATTTTTATTTCTGTTTGTGTGCGGGAAATGTTCCACGGAACAGCTAATAAATGGTTGCGTAAATGAGAAATGACTCCTCTGTCAGGGCTTCTGCTTCCTGCTGGGGTCCTCCACTTGCAAGCAGAGTGGCTCTAGAGGCGCCAAGTTAAATTTTTCTTCCCTACAGTCTATTCCTGTGTAGCATGAAAACCTTTTAAACCAGAAAAAAAAAGGCTTTTGACATTTTTAGTATGAGCAACAAACTTACCTTTTAATTGTTGGGCATTGGTGCGTCGCTCATGGAGAGTAGTTTTACTCCTTTGGAAGATATCCTGGGGACACATGAGGACATACAGCAGATGTTCTTCACCGAGAAAAAAAAAAGCCTCAATAAACTTGAATCAAGCATCCCCCGAGGTGGAACTGCAGTGCGAGTCTGCAGACTGCGCGTTTATAGCCTATGTTGGTTCCTCAATGAGAGTCCGTCTTTTTCTTGCTTTTCAGTCTAGTCTGCATTTTTCCCTCTTATTTCTGCAGACTTAACGGTCTTCCGATTGCTCATCCAGATTCGGTCAGTCTTGATCACGACTTCCATTTGGTCTAATTTGAGAGACAAACACAGTCCCTGGCGCACACCGCGCTTCAAATCCTGGAGACGAAAATAACAGCAGAGGAAGTTTCCTCGGAGAATTACAGCTGGTTCAGCAGCGCGCCCAGTTTGCCTCTAGGGTGTTTTTTAACCGATGTTCCTGCCCAGTCGACTTATCCACCTGTTGGGGGTGATTGTGCGAAAAGCAGCGCCTCCAGAAATAAACGCAGAGCAGCCAGATGCCTGGCAGGCGGTCTGCGGCGCTCTGCTGCTGCAGACTGTTCGTGCGCACTTGGAGACGCATTGAACACTCTCGCAGTAAGAGGGGAGAAAAAAAAGGAATTTAAACAAGCATCTCATCCAGACAGTTCCCCTTTCAAAGACATGGAAATCACGCTAAAATAATTACATAATTCCAGTTTCCCATTCCGGTTAAATCCTCTAAATAATACACTCAAGATAAGTAAGAGAGGCCAATAATACTGCAAATTATTCTAATAACGACGAGATTTGCATTGTAACCCAGTAATACTCTCTCCATGCTTTTATTGTACAATTTTAATACATGGCGTTTGAAACTGATAGCCAGACACAATTTTACATGTAACTGTGTATTTAATAAAAAAATTTTTTTGAAGATCCTCATTAAGCACTTATAAACCATATAACACCAAGAAAAGGAAAACAAACTAATGCACTTGAGAATTTGCTTCCATAACCATTGAGGCTATTTGAACATCAAAGATAAAGATAGCAGAATACCTGAATCAACAGGTACAATTATCTGCAGCTCTCCTTCCATCAGCCCAATTATCTGGGATGATGGATGCTGATAGTGACAGGAAGCAGAAGATCCTGTTCTTTAATGAAGTAGATAAAGAGTGTAGAAAAGCATTTTATGTAACAAAACCTTTATATTTTAAATGCTATCATTGTTTCATTGCATTACAAATTGCAGAAAGTTGTGTGAATCCTGCATAATGTCTGATTCAGAATGAAGTTTAGGCCAAATGTTATCATTCAAAAAGTGATAGGCTTAATCAATGATGTTGCAACTGATAAAGAACAAAAAGGCTATGACTATACCTTAATGCCTATTAGTTTAATACAACACTATAAAAAATGTGTCAGAAGAATTATTTTGATAGGTTATTGTAAAGTTGTAGGCTACTTCAACGTTCCCAGTTAGCAAGTATAAACTTAGGGAATTTGACATTTTATCTTTTTACTGCTTCCCTACTTACCTTAGTGCAAATGTTACACCTTTACTGTGGTACTATGTAAAAAAATAAAAGGGGTAAATATAAGTAGAAAGTGTTTTAATGCTAACTTTAGCTAATTGGGTACCTACAGGATACTTAGTCACAACAAGAGTTTAACTGATTGCTTTGGGCTAGTTAACATAATCTTAACTTATACATCTTTCATATCATTGTGTATAAAATACATTGTTAACTTGGTAGTTTTTGACTATTGTTCAGCTTAACTCAGACTTTGCACTATTCTTAGCTGAAACACCACTCTGTCTATCTCGCTCTCCATCTCAATAGCTCACTGTTGATGTTGTAAATTCTTGCTAATAGTGCATTGCTGTTGAATGTCATCTGACATGTTTATTGAATCTCCTTGTCATTTGTATGTGTTTCCTGTGTAGGCTATATGTTTACGTGTAAATTTATGTTGGTAGACTTTGCATGTGTTGCAGGACGCGTCCCTGCAAAGTGTCGCAAAGGGACACATTTTTGGATGTGTGGAGCCTTTGATTACTCATAGCTTGTTTCTGTCAGGATGGATTTACTTGGGCATTTGTTATTGTGGATTAACTTAATGTTGTTCTCTCTCATTTACCAACGAACAAAGGCCTATAGCAGGCCTATCAGGAAAGTATGAGCTTTACTCTTATCAGCATTTGTGAGTACTTTCACCAATGGTAATGGCTATGTTCCATTTTTGACAGTGATGAATACAGGGGAATTTGTAACATACATAATTATGTCTCTCCGGGCAGTTTCTTATTAAATGTAATTCAACTTGTCATGTCCCTGGTGCTGCTACTTTCTTTGATGTACTCCATGGTGGCAAATTAAATGTTTGTACCCTTGGGATAACAGGGTTCTCCATATGGAGGAATCTCCTGGGAACCACAACTCTCCCTGTGTCTTCATTCTTTTTTATCTGCTTCATTCAGTTATTATAAGCATACATCATTATACCAATGAACCTTTTTGGGGTCAATAACCACATTAGTTATTCCAATTCATTTAGCACACTTGCTCACAGACAGGCAAATGAGAAATGAATTGATCATGGCAGGAATATAGATTAGACTAAAATACATGTGTCATATTAGTGACACATTTTCTCTAACCATGCTGCAATGAATCAAAGTCCAGATAATCCATAGTCAATTAAGGTAAGATACCACATTTATTACAACCATGCTGTCGCTTTTCCCTGAGGATAATGTTGATTCAGGGGAATGTAGAGCATATTCAGATAACATCCTTTACACTGCAGAACAGATTCTGCCTGGCTGACAGGTAAGAAATAAGAACATATTATTGAGTCTAAAAATAGTCCTGAAGCCAATTCTTTTCCCATAAAAGGACCTTTAAAGTGGATTGGTTGTAACAGACATTAATAACATCTGATACAATCTGGTGGGAGCAAGGCAAAACAGTAGACTCCCCTTACCGCACATACACTGCTGTCATAAGGCAGCTTTAAAAGGAGAATAAATCATAGACTCTGTCTTGTGTGTGTGTCACATTTCTTGCAATGGTTTAAGAAGTTTTGCATCAGTGTAAGTACAGTACAACCTTTACTGCAGTAAAACACAGAAGCTGTTTTTACTTAAATTTTGCTTAATTAGCTGCATGGTGTTGAATTCCACTTATAAGTAATTCACTGTTCAGTTCAAGTAAAGAATACTTTATTTGTTCTCAATGGGCAATTCAAAGGTATTCAACAGTGTTCCTACACTTGTTAGCAGGAATGCTAGAGCAAGTTACTGATTCAATTTAAGAACTGTTTCTAAGATTTTATTCACTCTGCTGCTGCAGCACATTTTGAGGCTCTGGGGTTGTTGCTTTACTCCCCTTATTAGTGCTTCTTTGAAGTGCAGGACCTATTGACTCTAAAGGAGTATCTTTGCAAATACCCATTTATAAACAAATAGAGAGGGGCTCTAAAGTTGAGTTAGTTTTAACAGATGGTACTGTTCCCATCAAGGTAAAAGAAGACTCAAGAGAATGTGCATGAAGCTGTTTTCTGCAGCGACAAAGCAAACAGGAACCCTCTCTGTCTGAAATGTAACATGCCCAATATTCCAATATGAACATCCAGTTGGCAGTGAAATCCTCCTTTGCTGCCTCCCCTCCCTCTGTGTTCCCCCTTTTTCTCATCCCTATCTCTTCCTCACACACAGCTGCAGGTTAAACCGGCTTTTGTTAAAACCTTGATCAAGTGTTGGACTGATCTCTGTTGCAAAGGTATTTTGCGGTGTGTGTGTGTGTGTGTGTGTGTGTGTGTGTGTGTTTCCTGTAACTTGTGCTCTAACCATACACTGTAAGGCTCTAACCAGAGTTTTAAAAAATATATATTTTATCTCCATGGAAACGCAGTACTGTCCCCATCCTGTCCTTTGCGTCTGAGGATAACCAGTCACCCTTTCATGGAGTCTACCACGCCATGTTTTGAAAAGGCAGTGACACCGTCGACATCATGTTTGTCAACGTTACAAAAATCCTATTTTTCCCTTCGTGTATATGTGGGAGTCGTTTTTATCTGTTGCTCTCAGTGTTCCCTGAGGTGAGTGTGGCCATCTCAGCTGTTTAAATCTCCATTACTCCTGTGCTCTGTGAGTGGCTACTGGATAATTAAAATTGATTTGTCTCTGTCCTCCATGGACATGCACCAAGACTGAGACTGCCCCCTGACTCTCCTGCACACAGTTCATATTTTTTTTACAATAAGCAAAAAGAGGAACCTCAGCAATTTACACTGATGGGAAACATTGTGATTTGTATTTCTTCATGTTTTTGAGGGATCTCGTCAATGCTTGAAAAGTGCACTATATTTTAGATCTGACAAATTACTTTTTGCAAAGATTATGTTTTGTTTAAAATCCATAAGATATGACAAATTTATATTGCGCTAAACATTGGTCCCATTTGTCAAAACCATGTACTTCCACTGCAGTTCTAAACCACATGGTGTATACAAAAGCGACCAGTGTTTAGTGCCTGATATTTGGAAAAGACAACAATACAAAAGTATGTCAGTATTGACTGCAGAACAGCTGTATTGAAATGAAGTGGGGTCATTTTGCAATAACTTAATGAAATTGTTTTATCACAGATTAGTTTAGTGCGAGAGAAGACCTTGTTCAAGCGTAGCTCATCCAGATACATACTCTGTTTGATTACTGGACATTTGTTTATGTGTAGCAATTCCAGTGAATTTTCAAATGTCCTTGTAACACTGAAATTATGGGATCAGTACTACATGACTTGATCCAAGGACAAGTTAACAACTCTTCCTAAGAAACCGCAGCATGCAGCAGCAGCGGAAATGAGTGCTTGACTATTACTCTCCTGACCTGAGAGAATAAACAGATTGTCTTAAAATACACACATGTCCCCTGTAAGTACACCCTGAAGCTCTGTGCTAGTGCTCCGATCCTTGTGAAACAGCAGCTCCACTGCAGCGATATGTCAAGGATATGTCATCATCTGAATTTAGTTTTTACATTATGTAACATTAAATGCAATGCTACAGTGAGCACCACTGCAGATTTTTATTCAGGTGATTAAATGACGATAGCGAAGGGGCATTAAGACAGTCTGATTGTTAAATGTCACCCACTCAAAGAAACGCTTTATGACCAAATCCTTTCATGGCAAAGTACTCCTGCTATTACCAGGACTAAAATGAAATGATGCATGTCTTTGAACTTTCACTATCTTTCAAACATCATAATTAATCTTAGCGTTCCCCTTTATCCGTCACTCTCCGCTTTGACAGAGTGGACTTGCTTGCTGCTAAATTGAATATCTAAATGGATTGCTTTTAAAGCTACTTTGCAAAAGAAAATCGGGCTGTCTGTCAAGACTACTTGCATCTGCATTAGAGGATCTGTTTTTAAGTGTTTCCCAGTTGACTAGAAAATAATCTCAGGGTTGTGAATAACAAAAAGAGCAGCCTTTACCCTGAGGAGATGCTTTGGCATACCTTTAAAGTTCAACTGAGTTCAACTCTCTTCAGAGTAGAGCTAAGACAAAACTTTCTGTTTATTAATTTCA